TAGGCATGTGCTGCCCTCTGGTGATGAGAATCGCCCAAATCTGACCTCCAGCTTTCCCTACGCACCCACTTCCTGTGGTCAGTCCGGGGTTGGGGGTTGGAGGGTGTGTGGTCAGCGGGGAAGCTGCTGGCTCTGTGGTCAGACCCTTGCATCACCCGACACTGGCCAGGAGCTCCTGTCCTTGTGACTCTCAGACAGCGAGGCCTGTAAATGGGACTCTGGGATCCTGTCACTTTTAGCACCATGGACCTAGGCTTAAAGACCAGGCTTCCCAACGAGTCCTAGGGCAGGGAGGTCATTGTTTAACCTGCCCTAATGGCTTGGACCAGGTTTATAGGCGTGGCAGAAAGGTCATTTGCAGAGTGAACCGAAGGTCACACAGTCTATCAGAACGGAGGGAAAGTAACACCAGCAGAAGGCCCATGTTCTAGTTCTTGCTCTGCCGGTAATAATGTGTGTGACAGTGGGCGTGCTTTTGCGCTCCAACACTGGCCATACTAAGGGGGCTCAAAATCTTAGACTTTGTCAACTTTCTACGTTTGCCAAGATCTCTTTTCCTGAAAGGTTTTGCCTTTCTTTTATTCCATTTAAAAAAAATTTTTATAGAGAAGAGGGAGGGAAAGAAAGGGATTTGAGAGTCAAACATCATTTTTTTTTAAATATATATTTTATTGATTTTTTACAGAGAGGAAGGGAGAGAGATAGCCAGAAACATCGATGAGAGAGAAACATCGATCAGCTGCCTCCTGCACATCTCCTACTGGGGATGTGCCCGTAACCCAGGCACACGCCCCGACCGGAATCGAACCTGGGACCTTTCAGTCCGCAGGCCAACGCTCTATCCACTGAGCCAAACCGGTTTCGGCAGAGAGTCAAACATCATTTGGCTGCCTTCTGCACAACTGCCCACCAGGGATCGAGCCAGGAACCAGGGCATGTGTCCTGACCAGGAATTGAACCCATGACCTCTTGGTGCATGGGACAGTGCTCAACCGAGCCACACTGGCCAGGGCTTGTTCCATTTTTACATGCATCCTGATTAGTATGACACGATACCTATCCACACTCACTAGGTCTGTTTCCTAATTCATGAGATCAATCCTACTTCATGGGGTTGCTGGGAGGAAGTTGCCATCAGACCCAGTGTGAATGGGTTCAGTTAGTTTGGGTTTGTTTAGGCAAAGCAAGGGCACATTCATACATATGTATACTTTTATTTTTTGTAAATATATTTTTATTGATTTCAGAGAGGAAGGGAACGGGAGAGAGAGAGAAACATCAATGATGAGAGAGTATCATTGGCTGCCTCCTGCACCCCCCACCCCCTTACTGGGGATTGAGTCTGCAACCTGGGCATGTGCCCTTGATCGGAATCGAACTCAGAACCCTTCAGTCCACAGGCCAACGCTGTATCCACTGATAGAGCCATACATATATATACTTTTATATCAAGGAAACCTGGTGTTGAAAATATAGCTGTCCTGTCCTACTAAGTGGTTCTAGCACAGTATCACCTTCAAAGAGATGCCAGCTTATGGGTCTTTCATCTTCCCTGCAGCCCAGCTGTAGTTACTGCCTGTGCCCGTCTCAGCAATGATCTGTGTGGGGGGGTGGGGGTGGGGGTGGGGGTGAGCCACCGGTTGGTGACTGCCGATCTAGGGCAAGCATGTCAAACTCGCGGGCCGCATGTAGCCCATAACGAATATTTTTGCGGCCCAGCCAGTATAACGGTGTGAGCAGTTGTTTACAATTATGAAAGGAAATAGGTCTCCTGTCAGATCCGGAAATACTGACATTTCACCTTGGGTCAGTTTTGAAAGTAATCACTGCGAACAAGATTTCCCCTGAAGTAGGAAAGATGGTAGCAGAGAAGAAATGCCAAGTGTCAGGAAGAAAACATTAATTTTGTCATTGCTCTTTTTATATATATATATTGTACTTTTCTAAATAAACCTACATTTCTGTGAAAATTGAAGCTTTTGTTTTTTTGTGGCCGAAATAAACTTAAACCTTGTTCATTGGCCTGTGTTAGCCTTTGAGTTTGACATGCTTGATCTAGGACAAGAGTCCAGGGCAGGAGTGTTGTTCCTATTCAAAGGAGACTGCTGGCTTCCTACTACTATTCTCTAACTCTGCCTGCTTCCAAACCACTGCTACACCCCTAAACTGCATGGGCTCACATAGGCTGGAAAAGAAATAAGCCAGACACAACAGATAAACACTGCATGACTCCCTGTATATAGGGTAATTAGAGAAATCCAGTCATAGAAAGAGAAAGTAGGCGGCTTGTTGCCAGGGACATGGGGGTGGGGTTTGGGGGCAAGAGGATGTGGTGTTAATGAGGACAGAGTTTCGGTTTTGCAAGAACACAAGAGTCCTGGTGGTGGTGATGGTTGCACCACAGTGTGAATGTATGTAATACCATTGAACTGTGCACTAAAAATGGGTAAGATGGAAAATTCTATGTTACATATTTTACCACAGTAAAAAAAAGCGGGGGTGGGTGGGGGGAATGCCTCAAAGAAGGCAAAACCTGGGAAGATAATATGCAAAAAGTAAAATACCTGTGTTAGTATAATGTTATAAACAGTTTAAAATTTTCTTTCCATAGCGTGATATTGCTTTTGTAATTAAAATAAAGCAATGCGACAGAAAAAAAATCAAGAAATAATTTGAGCTATTTTGATATTTGTTATTCCCCAAGAAAGCACCCAAGTCATCATGGGAAAACCAGAAACTTGTTTAGCATCCTAGCACTTACTTTATTTTATAATTTACTATTGTTTATTTTACGTTACAGATCCTTGGGGGCCCATGACCTTTTCAGTCTTAGTGCCAGTAAAAGTTTTAAGCTGGTCTTGAGTGCAGCTGGTTCAGTTTAAGGCTGAGGGAATCATGCTGGGATGGCCCCTGGGCCCTGCAGCTCTGCCTTGAGCCCATCTGTGGGGTAACTTGATTCAGGGCCTCCTCAGGAGCTAAATCCATTTTTATTAAAATTCTTACCCATGGGCCTGGGGTAATGGTCATGGCTTTGCCTCTCAGCTCCACAGCAAGGTTGGTTGGTTGGTGGTTGTTTAAGTGAGTAATTACTGAAGTAGATGAGTGCCACCCCTGGACGTGGACCGAAATAGCAATGAGCCAACTGCTGCTTCCCAGTTCAGGAGCTGAAAATGCGCTTGGCAAAGGCTCCTGGGAGGCTCTGTGGTGGGGCTGGCTCCCTGCTGTGCCAGGAAGACATGGGCCCGCCTCCCGTTCTGTGAGTGACACTTACATGGTAGGACTCATTGGTAACAATGATGGAAACTAATGCCTTGTGGTTCTAATTGCCCCGGACTCAGGCAATTAGAAATAGTGTGTTCAGTATTTATTAACAAATGGGTTGGCGAAAGGGCAGGTCGTCTCGTCCCATCGCCACCCTCCCCCATTAGCACCCACCATGTGCCCGTCACTGTGGTCGGGGTCTGACATGCTAGCGGGTCCTCGGAGCTGCCTGACTCTTGGCTCCAACTCCGTCACCCTCACAGCCACTCGGGCAGGAGACCTCCTGAGGAGGGCGGGGGAGAGGAGGCTCAGTGGGTGCCAGGACCACAAGCACATTGTCAGTGCTTTTCACTGACAAAGCTAGGCTATTGCAGGAAACTCAATGTTGAATATTTTCGGAGACTTTGAGATCTTCCAGCCCCATGTTTGACCTTGTTGAGAAGTTCCCTAAACCTAAGAGAGAGGTGAGAACAACCTATGGTTTCCACTGTGAGCAGAAAAGAGAAACATCGGTTTAATAATAACCAGCGCATGTTGAGCAGTGGCCCTGTGCCGGCTCTGTGCTGCTTTCCTTGCACCAGCTCCTTTCATCTTCAAACCGCCCTGCGAGTCAGGGCCCTCGCATTCCCATTTTCAAGGAGGAAATTGAGATTCCAGCAGCCTTAGGACCAGCCCGAAGCTGCCCAGTGACTTGCTGCCCAGTGACTTGACGTGGCTTTTCAGTAAGTTCGCCGTCAGCAGGAACGTGCCAGAAATGCACGTCTGAAAGGTGGGAGCCGTGGCTTCTTTCCCAAAATCAACTGAGAATCCTGTGAAAAGAAATAGTTATATCCGAGTCTGTGGAATTCTCTCTTCTTTTCCATTTCCAATTGTGTCTTTCTTGCCTAGGAACAGTCCCCATGTCTCTGCTCAGCAAGTTAAGGTCCTGATTCCACTTTTGTAAGAGAGAGAAAAATCTTTCCTTCATCACCCAGAGGACCGAGGTATTTCCAAATAGAATTTAAGCCAACAGCACATAAATTTTGCTGGTCTCTAAAAGCCGTCATCTGTGGTAGTTTCTGAGTATATTGTAGGCTCGAAAAGTTGAGAGTGAGCGGTGTGATCAAATCCTGGTTTGTCGGCTGAGAAATGTGGTTCTCTGGCTCTGCATCCGGGGTGACTGTAGGTGAATATGCAGACCTGGGGGGAGGGGGAGGGGTGGGTAGGAACCCTCAAAGCAGCGCCTTAAGGGAATGGCCACCATGTGGCTGGATGACTGCACAGAATTTTCCCCGTAACTTCCAGGGGGACCTGTAGAACTGCGCCCTTCCAAACAGGGCAGCTGTACCCAGCAGGCTGCACCTCCGAGAACGCAAAGGTACTGCTAGGGGCCCTTGCCCCTTCCCCTCTCATGTTCGACCACTCAGCTCGGTGCCTCTTGCCACAGTGGGTGACGGCCCATCTGGGTCCTCCACTCAGTCTAATGGCCGAGGAACGTTGTGGACATCGGACCTGGCCTGCCAGGACCTCTCATGGCACAGCGGGGAGGCCATGAAATTTGGCCCAAGCCAGTATACCCTGGTCCCAGCCCCCTGCCTCAGTCAATTCCTCTGAGCAGCCACCTGTTTGGACTTGGTGGTCGGATGGAAAGGCCTATGAAGGACCAGAATGAAGATGCCTCTGTCCAGTGTGGGGATCAGGAAACAGCGAGCTTACAGATTTGGTCCCCTTAGAGCACCCCGGACTCAGGCAATTAGAAATAGTGTGTTCAGTATTTATTAACAAATGGGTTGGCGAAAGGGCAGGTCGTCTGGTCCTATCGCCACCCTCCCCCATTAGCACCCACCATGCGCCCGTCACTGTGGTCGGGGTCTGACATGCTACCGGGTCCTCGGAGCTGCCTGACTCTTGGCTCCAACTCCGTCGCCCTCACAGCGACTGGGGCAGGAGACCTCCTGAGGAGGGCAGGGGAGAGGAGGCTCAGTGGGTGCCAGGACCACAAGGTAAGCCACGCCTATTCCTCTGGGGGCAGGCAGTCTTCCTGGGGCAGAGCAGCTCTGCCCAGTGTTAGTCCCCGGAGGAGGTCAGCCTCGCGTGGGAAACCCCTGAGTGGAAAGGCAGCGTCATGAAGGCATCGCCCTTGCTCTTAGCTAAGAGCGCAGCCAGTGGTCTCGGTTGGCAGTGAGGCCCCAGGATGAAAAAGCCTGTGCCGGGTCTTTTCCTTGGCACCCACTACCACCCCACACGGGACACCCCTCAGTATCTACAGCTGTGAAGTGGGAAGGACAGCAACACATGGGAGGTACCGAGGAGGAAGATTTCAGGCAAAACACTTCTTGTTCATGGAGCATCTTCTCTGCAAAAAACTCGGCACCAACTCTGCAGCACATCCTCGACGGCTCAGTGAGGACAGCAGTGACCGCTCGCTCCCCCAGCCGCCAGGGCAGGCGCTGTACGAGCTCAGTCATTCCTCCTGATGCAGATCACAGCGATCGTGGGCACTCAGGAACGTCTCCATGGCATGTTTCCAGGAACCAACACGGCTCACAAAGCCCACGCTTCCCTGGGAAACTGCACCAGCCGTGCAGGGAGCTGAGCTGGCCTATCGGAGCATCTGTGAAGGCCCTGGGCTCCCGGCAGTCCCCTTGCGAGACGACACCTCAGACAGGTGACCGCAGAGTGGCTGCTGCTGCTAGCGCCCTCCCAGGGCCAGATCCTCGGACAGGAAGGCGTCCTCTCAGGAAAGGACAAGCCGCTTCTCACCCTCAAAGCCTCCGGCCTCCTCGGGCTTCATTAAGTTCCCATTGAGGCTGTTGGAGAAAAAGAAAACGAGGAAAATGCAAATCTGATCACACCCTCCTTTGCTTCAAACCTTCAATGACTTCCCGTTGCTTTTAGGACAAACACCCGCCTGTGCCACAGGACACACACATCTTTTGTGGTCTAGTTTCCCCGTCCTCCGCCCCTGTGGACCCTCCTCCACACTGTCTGAGCCCCGAGACACACAGCTCCTGGACATCACGCCCCTTCCTGCCTCTGAGCCTCTGCATGTGCTGTTCCGCCTGCCTGGGACACCTTCCCTCGCACCTCCACGGACTAACTCCTAGTCATCTTTCACGGCTTAGTTTCCATGCCACTTCCTTAAGGAGACCATCCCCGGAACCTCACCTGTGTTAGGTTCCCTCCCTAGCTTTCCCCTTTATAGCACTCACCACGATTTAATTAAATAATCACTTGAATGATTTTTTAAAAATTAATTTGTAATGTTTTCATTGATTTCAGAGAGAGGAAGGAAGAGCTAGAAACATCAATGATGAGAGAGAGTCATTGATCAGCTGCCTCCTGCACGCCCCCTACTGGGGATCAAGCCTTCAACCTGGGCATGTGCCCTGACTGGGAATCCAACCTCGACCTCCTGGTTCATGGGTCGCTGCTCAACCACTGAGCCACACCAGCTGGGTTTGAATGATTTTTTTTCACTGTGTCACCCTTAATAGATGGTAAACCTATGAGGGCAGGTCCATTTCATTCGCTGCTGGATTTTCAGTGCCAACACAGTGCCTGGCACACAAGCACTTGGTTATTCAACAAACGAATGAGGAGCAGCGCTAGTTCCTGGGGACACAGCGATGACCAGGACGCAGGCCCTACCTCACAGTCTGGCGGAGACGGCCACACAGGAAGCTGTTGCAATGCAGTGTGGTGACTGCTAGCAACAGAACCCGCAGGAAGGGACTGGTTCTAGGAAAGGGATCACGGTGTGAGGGTGGCTGGGAAGATGGAATTACCCTCCGGGGTACCTGGCACACAGCCATTGGTGCTGAGTACGCACTGCCATCACCACAAGGGGTGGGCGGGTCTTACCAAATCTCCTTGATGCCAGTGTTCTTCTGTAAGGCGTCTGCCAGCTGGGCGACCCCCTTGGCTGTGATCTGGTTCTGGATAAGCCTGAAAGAAGAACGTGTGTCGTTTATATCAGGTGCACAGTGCCGGGTCAAACCTGCCCCCTTCATCGGGGTAACTGTATCAGGCTGGTGGGGGAAGAGAAAGGGTCGGGAAGAACTGAATCCACGTGACTTTTAATCTGGCTAAGATCATGTACATCCAATCCACCAGAATAAAGGAAAGCCTTTAAAATGCTTGATTTCTCTGTAGTTTTTATAGTGAGCATCCTATATCTGTGTTCCCATAGAGACAGTTTAATGCGTGAACATACATGAGCATGTGTGCTTGGCACATTTCCCTGCAGAGGAGCCCAATCGGAAATGTTTGGAGACCACAACAGATTCCAAGACCCACACCAGGGAATAGGCAGCCAGGTCTCCTTCCGGGTGGTGAGGGAAAGGCAAGGCAGTTTTTAAAGTTTAGGTAGCAACCAGCTGGCCATTCTCTTCTTTGGGGGAAACAAAGGCTTCTAAGAGGGGGCCATGCCCTCCCTGACACCTGAGAGGGAGAGGGGAGCAACAGTCCTGATGCCGCTCGGGGCCCCAGTGGGAAAGCAGTGATAATGGGGCCTCGAGGAGCAGCCCCGTTACGTCGGGCAGCAGCGATCCAAAGGGAACAAAGGGTGCAGACCACTGGGAAGCCCCGGCAGTCCCTGAAATGCTCCCCTGGGCAGCTCCTCCGCACCCCACTGGGGAATGGGTGCAGCACGAGGCAGTGATGTGTCCGCCTCCATCACAGGCTCGCCCCTCCTTCCTGGCTATCTGCAGAGAGGCTACTGCGGAATCTGACCCTGAGACGTCCGGGGCTTGGACCCAAGCAGGCAGCCCTACCTAAGTGTGAAGGGGCCAACCCCTTAGAGAGGCAGCAGACCACACACACACTCCCCACTTCCCAGCTATGGGTCCTTGAAGAAATAAGCAGGCTCTCTGTGCCTCAGTTGCCTGATCTGTAAAATGGGAGTAACTGTAAGAGAACCTCCTACCCGCAGTGTGTGAGGTTTGAATGGGACGACGTGTTTGAAGCAGTTCTCGCAACTGTGCTACGGTGCCCAAGGGGAGGGGAGCCCTTGTCCCCATCACTGCCCACGCACACAGGACAGTGGCAGCAGCCTGCAGCTGGGACCCAGTGTTCCAGCCACCTCTCCCCAACGCTGGGACCCCGGGCCCCGTGCAGAGGTGATGACCTAATAAGCATGACTACATGTAACTTGACATTTTTTGCCAAAAGAGCAGAACTAGCCCCTGGCAGTGGGTACAGAGTTCTGCGTTCAGTCCAACAGCGTTCAGTTCAGCTCTGCCGTGTTCTAGTGACTTCCTTCATGGCAGCCACCACTGGCCTTGCTGGGGTGGGTGAGCTGCTTCCAGCCCAGACTTGGCAAGAAGCCAGCTGTGCTCAGGCACACACGCCCTCCAGGCTGCCTTCACCAGGGCCCTAGGGTTGTGCTTGCTCCATACAGCACAGACTCCCTCTCCAGTCCTGGCCAGCTCGCTCCCGCTGGGGGCTGGCCTGACCTCGGGAAGGGTTTAAGAGACAATCTACAGGCCAGGAAAATAAAGGAAACCAACCAATCCAACAAAATTATGTACACAAAGCACAGTCCGGCTGTTTTTACCGACACTGACATGGTGATCTAAAGTTCATAAGGAAATGCGAGGGACCCAGAATGGCCAAGACAACCTTGAGGGCGAAGAACACAGCCAGAGGACTCCCAATTCCCGAGTTCAAAACTTACCAGAAAGTGACACTAATCAGCACAGTGCTGCTGGCACAGGATGAACATGTGCATCCGTGGACTAGAGGGAACACCCAGAAATAACCAAGAAGCGCTACATTTGTGGTCGACTGATTTCTGGCAAAAGTGCCAGGGCCATTGGAAAGGGGGAGATCATCCTTTCAGCGAGTGGTGCTGGGACAACCACGTGCAAGAGAACGAAGCTACACCTTGTCGCCTCATTCTGTACGCAAAAATTAGCTTCACGTGGATCAAAGAGCAAAACTACCACCCTCAAGGAAAAGCTAGGGGTACATCCCTGGGACCCAGGATCAGAAAACGATTCCTTAGTAAGATACCTAAGGCACAAGCAGCCAAGGGGGAAAACAGACACACCGGACTTCCTCAAAATTAAAAACGTCTGCTTCAGGTCACCCTCCAGAAAGTGAAAAACCAGAAGCAGCCCTGGGTCTCTTCCCGTTTGCGGCCATGGCAGAAGCGCCCGCCCGCGGTCAAAATGAAGCTCAATCTCTGTGACTTCTGACGGGAGCCAGAACCGTCCAGGGCGTGTCCATGCTCCTTCCCGCATTCGCATTATCCTCTTCCCAAGGAGCTGAGAGAGGTGTGGAGTTCGACCCACGCCCGTCCGAAAGGGTGATGAAGTTCAAGTGTGTGAGGACACTGCGAAGGGCCACAGAGTGGCAGGAAGTGCAGGTTTCCAGGGAGAAATATGTGGTCTCCGCTGGAGGAGTGGGCGGGAGAAAGCTCACGGTACAGCTGTTCACAGGGGCATCCCCAGCACGCGGTTATCACCGCTAAAGCTGGACAGAGAGGTCCTCGAACAAAAAGCCAAATCGCACCAAGTAGGAAGAAATAAGGCAAATACAAGGAAGAAACTATTTTGCTTTAAACATATTTTTACTAATTTCAGAGAGGAAGGAAGAGGGAGAGAGAGAAACATCAGTGATGAGAGAGAATCATTGATTGGCTGCCTCCTTGCACACTCCACACTGGGGATTGAGCCCACAACCTGGGCATGTGCCCTTGACCAGAACTGAATCTGATACCTTTCAGTCCACAGGCCAATGCTCTATCCACTGAGCCACACCAACTAGGGCTCAAGGAAGAAACTATTGAGATGATGCAGGAATAACCTCTACAACTTTCATTAAAAACAAAATAAAAAAGTGAGAAATCCCACAGAGAGGAAATATTTGCAAATCATATCGATAATAATAAAAGCATAATATGCTAATTAGACTGGATGGCCGAATAGCAGAATGACCGTCCGGACGACCTTCCGGAGGAAGCCGGGGCTGCGAGGGCCGAGTCCCCTGCATGAATTTCGTGCACCGGGCCTCTAGTATCTAATAAATGTCTGGTACCCAGAATATATCAAGAACTCTTAGAACTCAGCGATAAAAAGGCAAATAATCCGATATAAAAATGGGTAAAGGATGTAGAGACATTTCTCCAAAGAAGATACACCAACGGCCAACAGCAACATGAAAAGACACCCAACACTTTTAGTCATCAAGGAAGTGCAGTTCAAAACCACAATGAGACACCACTTCACACCCAGGAGGAGGGCAAGATTCAGAAAGAGGGTTGGAGAGAATTTGGAGAAAGGGGAACCCTCCTGCATTGCTGATGGGAATGCAAAGTAGAGCAATGCTTTGGAAAGCAGTTTGGCAATTCCTCAAAAGTTAATTGTGATCGCGTGACCCAGCAATTCCCTTGCTAAGTAGACACCCAAGAGGAATGAAAATGTGTGATCACACACAGGCATGTACATGAATGTTCACAGCAGCATCTACACTAATAAAAGAGAAACATGGTAATTGGCGTACGACCGCTACCCTTTTCATCGGCTAATCAGCGAGATATGCAAATTAATTGTCAGCCAATATGGCGGCCGGCAGCCAGGCAGCTTGAAACTAACATGAGGCTTGCTTGCCTCAGCGACGGAGGAAACCAACGTTCTCCGCCTGCGGCTACAGGCTTCTGAGCCTGCAGTTTAAGAAACAATGTAACAAATACCTCCGGACTTCAGCCAGCAGATTCGCAACATTGTAAGCAAAGGCCAGAAACCTACTTTCAGCCGCGGAGGCCTAAGAGCTGGAGCCAAGCCTCAAAGCTAAAGCTGGCCCAGAATAAAAAAGAAAAAAAGGAGCAGTTGGGAGCTTCAGTCACCCCCAGCCTGAAAACAGCCCTCAGCCCCTCACCCAGACTGGCCAGGCACCCCAGTGGGGACCCCCACCCTGAATGGTGTGTGACCAGCTGCAAACAGCCATCATCCCCTCACCCAGGCTGGCCAGGCACCCCAGTGGGGACCCGCACCCTGATCCAGGACACCCTTCAGGGCAAACCAGCCGGCCCCACCCATGCACCAGGCCTCCATCCTATATAGTAAAAGGGTAATATGCCTCCCAGCACCGGATCAGCGGAGCCATGAGGCCTCCCAGCACCGGTATCAGCGTGACAGGGGGCAGCGCCCAAACCCCCTGATCGCCCTGTGGCTCTGTGTGTGACAGGGGGCGGGGCCACAACCTCCCTATCCACCCTGCTCTGTTCGTGACAGGGGAAGGCGCCCCAACCTCCTGATCAGCCCTGCTCTGTGCCTGATAGGGGGGAGCTCCCCCCCCCCCCCACGGGCCCTGCTCTGTGTGTGACGGGGTAGAGCCATAACCTCCCCATTGGCCCTGCCCTGAGTGTGAGAGTGGCGGCGCCCCAACCCCCTGATCGGCCCTGCTCTGTGGGTGATAGAGGGCGGTGCTCCAACCCCCTGATGGGCCCTGCTCTGTGAGTGACAGGGGGCAGTGCCCCAACCCCCTGATTGGCCCTGCTCTGTGCATGACAGGGGGTGGCGCCGCAACCTCCCCATTGACCCTGCCTTGAGTGTGACAGGGGACGGTGCCCCAACCCCCCAATCGGCCCTACCCTGATCGTGACTGAGGGTGGCATCACAACCTCCCAATCTCCCTGCTCTGTGCATGACAGGGGGCAGCGCCCCAACTCCCCAATCGGCCCTGCTCTGAGCCCGACCAGGGGCTGCACCTAGGGATTGGGCCTGCCCTCTGCCACCCAGGAGCAGGCCTAAGCCAGCAGGGCGTTATCTCCCGAGGGGTCCCAGACTGCGAGAGGGCACAGGCCGGGCTGAGGGACCCCCCCACCCCCCCGAGTGCACAAATTTTTGTGCACCGGGCCTCTAGTTATTCATAACAGTAAAAAAGGAGAAGCAACCCAACTGTCCAGCAGCTCACGAATGGACATATAAAATGTGGACTAGCCATACAGTGGAATATCACCCCTCCATAAAAAGCAATGAAGTATTGATACGTGCTAGAATGTAGGTGAACCTTGAAAACTTATACTATGAAAGAACAGAGACAAAAGGCCACATACTGTGGTTCCATGTCTATGAAATGCCCAGAATAGGCAAAGTATAGTAGTGGTTACAGGACCAGCGGGGGAAGGGAGGGTGTGGGGGAGGGGCAGGGCGGGGAGAATGAGTGTCTAATGCATACAGGTATTGGGGGTGCGTAGGTAAAACTGTCCTAGAATTAGACCAGTGATGGCGAACCTTTTGAGCTCGGCGTGTCAGCATTTTGAAAAACCCTAATTTAACTCTGGTGCCGTGTCACATATGGAAATTTTTTGATATTTGCAACCATAGTAAAACAAAGATTTATATTTTTGATATTTATTTTATATATTTAAATGCCATTTAACAAAGAAAAATCAACCAAAAAAATGAGTTCGCGTGTCACCTCTGACACGTGTGTCACCTCTGACACGCGTGTCATAGGTTCGCCATCACTGAATTAGACAGTAGTGATGATGGCACAACCTTGCGAATATACTAAATATTACAGAGGCGAATTAAAAGGGTGAATTGTATGGCATATGCAGTTTAAATCGAAAGTTTTAAAAAGCAGCACAGTGTGGAATTCCAAGGTTCTGAGTTACCATAAATGTGTCAGCGTCTGGTTGACTTTCAACATCTCTGCCATGCTCTCTGCCACTTCGTCGTTGAGTTCATTCTGGGTGAGCCTGGAGAAGAAAGCGGTGTTTACTCGGAGAGCCCTCCCTGGCACATGTTTCTAAAGGGGTTCTCAGCCTTTCGAAAGGAATCTGGCAATTACCAGAATATTCTCAGCGACGTGTTCCAGTGCAAGGCCTGCGCGAGGCTCTTTCCTCCTTCTGTGGAAATGCCGTTGGAAGCCAGACTAGGAAGGAAGACACGTGGGGAGGATTATTACACGAGGCTTTGGCTTCAGCAGCCAGAACAGCCAGGAGACTCTGGCTGGTGGCCCGGCTGCCTGGAGGCAGGAAGCCTCGCCGGCAGCCACCCAGGCGCTGCTGCTCCAGGGCACAGGCACAGAGCATGAGGTCAGGTGGGGACACTGGACATGGGCGAGACCGGGTCACCGGGCAGCCCGGAGGCTGAGGCCTGGCCAGCTCTGCTTCAGGGGCTGACATCCTCGTGAGCACTGGAGAAGCCTCCTGTCCTCCCAGAGCAGGGACTGCCATTGTCCTGCCATCTCAGATTCACTCCAGTGGCAGGAAGGACACAAGCAGCGGGGGACGCCGAGGCTCTGAGGTTTGGCCAGAAGGACAAAGGGTCCCCTCTGTCCCAGCACCCGCCTTGAGAATGAGGAAGGGGCAGGAATCCGCTGCCCAGTGTCCCTCTCAGTTGTATCTGGACTTAAGAATTCCTCCCACCCCCACGGGGCATGGGGTCACGGCCAAGGGGCTGGCAGTGTCCTCTGTCTCGACCTGGGGGGTGGTTATATGGGTGGGTGCCTGTGTCAAATCACCGAGCTGAACACAGAGTCATGGACTTTACTCATTTAATGTGATGTCTCCTATATGTCCATAGAAACGTTTAAAAAGAAAAAAAAATCATACATACATACACACACACACACACACACAAATACCTCTCTCAGTTGGAAAGCCAGCTGCCCTCTAACCCTCAGCTCCCCCTCTGCAACCTCAGGGACACACGAGTGACAGGCTGGCCCCTGGAGTCCACAGTGTCAGACACAGCAGTTACCTCAGGTTGGTCAGGCTGGGGTGGTTCCTCAGAGCCTCTGCGAAGGCCTTTGCTCCTTCATCACCGATTTGATTGCCCCACATCCTGAGGGCAGAGGCAAGACAATGAAAGGGAGCGCCTGCTCCCCCTGGCCTGTTGGTGGGGGCCACAGCGAGGCTGTCCACTTGCAGGCCGGCTTTGCTGCTCTATCCCTGGAGCTGTGGCCTGGAGGCAAGTCCTACGCCAGCCCCTAGTGAGCTGTCAGCCCCATAGTGAGCTGTCAGCCCCTAGTGAGCTGTCAGCCCCTAGTGAGCTGTCAGCCTGTAGTGAGCTGTCAGCCCCTAGTGAGCCGTCAGCCCCTGGTGAGCTGTCAGCCCCTGGTGAGCTGTCAGCCTGTAGTGAGCTGTCAGCCTGTAGTGAGCTGTCAGTCCGTAGTGAGCTGTCAGTCCGTAGTGAGCTGTCAGCCCCTGGTGAGCTGTCAGCCCCTAGTGAGCTGTCAGCCTGGTAATGAGCTGCTTGGGGTTTCAGAGTCAAAGGGACCCGTCAGGATAAAGAGCGTTTCCCAGGCAGAAGCCAGTGGGGCCCCTGAGGGCCCCCGTGAAAGCTCCTGTGCCTCCCCACGGCTTGCCCAGTGGCCCTGTCGGTGTATTAGGAACAAGAAGACCAGCAGGTGCCCACGGACAGACCAGGCTGGGTTACGCACACACGTGTGCAGTTGTCTTTACTCACCCGATTTCCAAGATGGATTTGCTGTTCTTCACGGCCAGGGCGAGACACTTTCCTCCCTTGCTGGTTATCTGGTTTTTCCCCAGTCTGCAGAGAGAGTTGAGCCCGTGTCAGCCTCCTGCTGGGAGGGGACTCAGTCACCCTCATCCCCAGCACAGAGCCCCTCTGGTCCCTCTTGGGGGTGTGGCCTTTCTCTGGGACCCACAGCAGCTATGCCTCACACTCCCACTCGGAAGGACCCAAAGGCCGGAGGAGACCAGTCAGGATTCCGCTCCAGGTGATGGTAACAATCTGCAGAAGCTCAGCGACCGGAGCGGTCCCTGGGGTTCTTTAAATGACCGCTGAGCGTCACTCATTTCCATCAGCAGAGTAAGGAGGTGCTGGCGTCAGCCACAAATGGCCAAGGTGAGTGTCCCATCACCAGGGCTCCTCCAAGCCTGCTGCTCTGTCACCGGGAAAGGCAAGCTCTTCCTGGCAGCTAGATGGGTGCTGTGGTCTGAATGTGTGTGTCCTCCCAAAAGGCATGTTCCAAAATCCCCACCCCCAGGGTGATGGCATTAGGAGGTGGGCCTTTGGGAGGTGCTTAGGTCATGAGGATGGAGCCCTCAGGATTGGGGTTAGTGGCTTATAAAAGAGGCCCTTCTCCCCCTTTTCCACCAGGTGAGGACACAGCGAGGCCCCATCTATGGACTAGGAATCGGGCCCTCACCAGACACGTAATCTGCCACCACTTTGGTCTTGGACTCCCCAGCCTCCAGAACTGTAAGAAATGAATTTTGGGTGTTTATAAGCAGCCTAGCTTATGGTAAACTGTAAGAAATGAATTTCGGGTGTTTATAAGCAATCTAGCTTATGGTATTTTGTAATAGAAGCCTGAAGGGCCAGGCTGGTGTGGCTCAGTGGTTGAGTATCAACCAGGAAGTCACAGTTCGATTCCTGGTCAAGGCACATGTCTGGGTTGTGGGCTCAATCCCGTGTGGGGCGTGCAGGAGGCAGCCGATCAATGATTCTCTCTCATGATTGATGGTTTCATCTTTCTCCCTCTCTCTTCCTCTCTGAAATCAACTAATATCTATCTATCTATCAAATATATCTAAATATGTATACATATAGGTATATAGATATAGATATAGATATAGATAGATATAAACATATAGATATTTATTAAAAAGCCCAAAGGGAAAAGGAACTTCAAAAATGGTGATAGCTGCAGCCTTTCTTCCTGTTATTAATTAATGTCATTAAAATGCCAAGCTTTCCAGCCACCAATTGTAGGAGGTCCCTCCAAACTCCGAGCCTCACCCACAGTTGATAAATCCTGCACGTGGCCCGTTCACCTGCCACACCCACGTCTCCTAATTCACCAGTAAGGCCCCCGGGGAAGCAGAAGAAGGCTTTGGGGTGAGAGTCTTCATGGTGACATTTATGTTTTTGAATAAAGAGCCTGCCACGCCCACCCCACTTACTTAAGATGTGTGAGGCCTTTGCACTCATCCAGGATGCTGGCGATGTACCCGGCTCCGACATCAGTGATCTGGTTGTTGTATAAGCTTCGAGAGAAAGCACAGTCAGAAAACATGAGGAGACCCAATGTCATCTTAATGAGCCCAGTTGTAAAAGCTGAGTATGTGCCGTCTGGGTTGAAAGAAGAAAGAAAGGGCACGTGGGGACCAGAGTTTGGGGCTCTGGGGCCTCAAAGGCTGCGTTCAGAGCCACTCTGCCGCTCTCCAGCTTTATGACCTGCGGCAAGTTCCTTAACGCCTCTGTGCCTCAGTTTCTCCCTCTGTGATACTGGGGTGAGAATGATAGCTCCCCAACAGGGTTGTCATGAGGACCAGGTGAGATCACTCCAAGCCCTCGCACGTCACATAAGTGCTCAATAAATGACAGGCGACGGGTATTTTTAGATGAAGATACTGATGAGCATCTTGACGGGGGAAGCTTCTGAGTATCGGGACCTCCTCGGTGTCTGCCTTTTCGTCATTTTGCCACTTGATACCAATTCAACAAGTCGCCCCAAGAAGTGGGAAGTAGGAACTGCACGGACGCACAGAACTCTGAGCTGAAGGGCAGCCGCGCGTCTGTGCTCCCATGTCCTCGCTTCTCAGCTTAGGGAACCGAGGCCCAAAGAAGCTGATGGGCATCAACAGTGGCCGTGGGGCTGGCTGTGCGGGCCCACAGTCTCTTATCTCAAGCTCCAAAATGCCAGACTCTGAAAAACCAGTTTTTCGTCACTACTTTGGCAACTGATATGGAGCTGTTCACAGTCCACATCCAACTGGCTTGAATAGTCATACGCTTGGCTGCAGAAATATGAAAGGATTTAAAAAGGGGTTCCCGCCCAAGACCCCACTGGCCATGTCACCACTACTCAGCATGTGCATTGGATTCTGACCGCTGTCTTGCTTCCAGGGTTCTGGACATGGGATCATGGGCCAGAGCAGTGAAGCCTGACGAATAAACAGTATTCTAATGTTTAGAAAACGAGCCCTAGATACCTTCACATTGCATCCCCCGGCCACCACTCGTAAAGCCACATGCCTATATTATTAGGATCCCAATGATACAGCCAGGAGGCTGAGGCCCAGCGTGATTTCTCCAGCGACTTGCTCCAAGAGTGGGCTGCTGGCTGGATCCAAAGCAGAACCCGGACTCCTGGTTCCCCGTCCAGTGCTCTTCCTGTGTCCTTGGCCATCAGTCCCAACCATCTGATCACTCACGGGAATGGCAGTCTCCTGCTGCTCTGTATTTTTACAAGAACCCTGTAGCCAGCCCAGGGCTCTTGAGAAATACGTACCCTAAATACGTCAGAATTTTGTACTTGGTCAGCTCTTCATATAGCACCTTGACCCCACTGTCAGTGACTTGGTTTACGCTGAGTCTGAAACAAAACAGCAGAGAAAGTTACACATCTGAGCAGCTGCTCGCTAGGAGGGAGCATTCACTCCACCGGGATGCAGAAGCCTCCAGGTCCTGGCCTTTTCCAGCTGTAAATGCCCCGAGAGAATGGCCAGAACAGTAAGCCACACAGCCGCCAAAGCGCCTGGTCATCGTGGGGCCGGCGGACCCACCCAGCCCATTGGCGAGGGGACACGTGAAGGCCACGTGCGGACAGCCTCCTCTGATATCCTGCGTTTGGGGGCAGCCTGGTGAGAAGGAGCCAATATGTAAACAAATGGTTGCGGCTGTGTTCCAGTAACACTTCACCTACAAACACAGCCACACTGGGCCACAAGTTGACCTTTTTATACACCTTGTAATAAGTAAAAGGCTGGGGAGGTAAAAGCTTGATTTTTAGGCCTCATCCAAATGACCAGGTCAGACACTCTGGGCCTCTCCCCCAGTGGTACCCACCTTGGTGCTGGGGGACAGTGTGCACCCACATGCATTGCCATCCCATATCTATGCTTTCTTAGAAACATACTCCCCCCCCCTTTTTTTTTTTTAGCTAGGCACATGTGATCAAGTTATGCCCAATGAAATCTAAGCAGAAGAACTCATTAGCAATAGCCGAGGAGACTTCTTCAAACAATGAGGTGTGTCCTTCTTTGCCCTTCTTTCTTCCTGGTGGTTAGGATGTTGACTGAATGGCTGGAGCTTGTGCAGCCACCTTGGGCCAGGAGGTGGAAGTCAGGTAGTGGGGGGGCAGGTAGTGAGGGAGCAGGGTAGCAGGCAGAAGAGCCTGGGCTCCTGAGGCCATGGAAGCTCCCAAGCAGCCCAGAACTGCCCTCTGCTAGACTTTTGCATGAGAGACAAGTAAACTTGCAAATTATTTAAACCACCACTATTTTGAGATTTCCTCTCAGCATAAATTAACCCTAACTGATGCCCTCAGGGAGCTCAAAATGCTTCCCTGGGGTAACCCATTTCCTCCTGCTTTCCCCTTCACTGGTGGAGTTTTCATCTGATGAGAGGAGCACAGGGTGGCACTGAGTGTAAGACGCCTGAGGCTGCAGACGGAGAGATGCTGGCTGAGCGCAGAGAAAAGACGCAAGGCCTCCCCATTCCCAGGCCAGGGCAGCTTTGGGCTCCCTATATCGCACTGTCCCCACACAATTTACTGTGGTACTGGTGTAACGGGCGCCCAGAAGCAATTCAAATCCCCTAGGCTCTCCAGAAATGCATGAGCCAAGAAAAGGAGAACTACCCCGCCCCCAGGAAAGATTTATAAGGTGTATACAGGAAGTGCTATTAGAAGAAAGCAGGCTGGCCTCCCTTTTCTATAGATATAAAAGCCTAAGAAACTGAATGACTGAACAACCGGTTGACAGGTCGCTATGACGCGCACCGACAACCAGGGGGCAGACGTTCAATGCAGGAGCTGCCCCCTGGTGGTCAGGGCACTTCCACAGCCAACCTCCCCCTGGCCAGCCTGCCTAGGTCGGCCCAATAGCCGACCAGGCCGAGGGACCCCAACTGTGCACAAATTCATGCACTGGGCCTCTAGTCTTTAAATAATCAAACAGGAAGCTAATCAAGAGTCAACAATAAGAGTCATTGTTTTTTACTGAGATCCCTGGAAGCTCAGGGCTGCTGGCTTTGATCATGGGAAGCAACTAATGCTAACTAGCAAAAAGTCTGCCTTTTCTGCAATCACAAACATGGGCTATCTTGGAGCCTCACATAAATCGTACAGGGCAGGTTCTTTTTTATTCTGGCTCCGCCATGGCCCAGCTGTGTGACCTTGAACAACTTACTAATTCCACTGTGCTTCTACCTCCTCCTTTGCCAAAATAAAGACAATAACAGTATCTACCTTACAAAATTGTGTTTCAGATTTTTTTTTTAAATTAAATGTATTTTATTTGTTTATTGTTTTTGAATTTATTGGGGTGTGTTAAGAGGATTAAATTAGGTAACATTTGTAATGACTTCATCTACTCAATAAATGCTTGATTTAATCTTACAGTTGACCTTTGAACAACATGGGTTTGAACTGTGCAGGTCCACTTATATGTGGATTGTTTTCAATAAACATATTGAAAAAATTGGGGGCATTTACAAAAATTTGAAAAACTCACAAACGTTATAGCCTAGAAATATTGAAAAAATTAAGAGAAAGATATATCATGAATGCATAAAATATATGTATTTTCTCTTATGACTTTAATAACATTTTTGTTTCTCTAGCTTACTTTAAGTATACAGTGTCTAATACATGTAACATACATAATATGTACAGGGGTGAGCAAAAGTAGATTTACCATTGATCATATGGAAAATAATACAATAATTAATAACAATACAATTATAAACTGTGTTTCGCATATGCACTACTGTAAACCTACTTCTTCCACATGCTGTGTTGATCAATTGTTTATGTTCTCGGTGAGGCTGCCAGGCTATTAGTAGTTAAGTGTTTGGGGAGTCAAAAGTTATATTATGTGGATTTTTGGCTGCAGGGGGGCCAGCATCCCTAACCCCTGCGTTGTTCAAGGGTCAACTGTACTGCAGTTGCTAGGATACGAGCATCTCCTTTTCCAGATGAGGACACTGAGGCTCAGAGAGATTAAGCAACTTGTTCAAGGACACCCAGCCGATGCGGGTCTGCCTGACTTCAAAGCTTTGTTCCTTGGCCAAAGTCACCCCAATCAATTTAATAATAATAATAATAATTAATTAATAAATAAATAAAAGCTTTGTTCCTTGCTCTCAGCCACCTGAGATAGAGAAGGTCTGGAAGTTCCAAGACTGGTGGTCGTTACTGGCAGGGTAATCCAGGAGACCCCACTCATGACATTAGTCCTGGTGTCGCCTGGCCCGCCCCACCCCGGCCCGCCAGTGCTCCCGGTGCCCGGCGGCCTCACCTGATGACTGTGAGGCGGCTGAAGCAGGGCTGCAGCTCCCGCACGCCGTAGTCGTTGAGATTGTTGTTGTCCAGATCAAGGGCCAGCCGCTTGCGGAAGTGGTGCAGGACGAAGGAGAGGGCGCTGCAGTCGGCCGAGTAGGCATTGCAGTAGGTCAGCTTGAGGTAGTTGGCGCAGATGCCCTTGGCCGCCAGCTGCCCCACCTTCTCGCTCTGCGTCTCGTAGATGCAGCGCAGCATCCAGATGAAGGTGGGCATGGCCTGCACCTGGTTGAAGCCCCCAGACCGAGTGCGGGGCAGGTTCTTCAGGTAGGTCCGCAGGCTGGCGAACAGGTGCGCCCACAGGGCCTTGCGCTTTCTCCTCAGGGCCGCGGCCGGCACCAGGTGTCGCAGGAGTTTCTGTTTGGCTTTGGACAACAGCCCGCACAGGAAGAGGTTGGTGAACCGAATGTGGTCCTTGTTCCTGAAGGGGTTGTCCCCCGCCGGGTCGCGGGCCCCCAGGCACGGGAAGGGGAGGAAGGGGGCCGAGCAGGCCGCCACTGCTGCCTCCGCCGGAGGCACCCACTCCTGGAAGAACCTGAGCAGCGCCCGCGTGCCCACCTTGGCGTCCACCACGAGGGAGAAGGCGGTGAAGAAGGCCTGGAGGGTGGTGTGGAAAAACTCATAGGACAGCTGGTCTTCTCCGAGGCCCGGCTCGGGCACGGCCCGCAGGAAGCCCAGCTGCAGGTCAGCCTCCCGCATGGCGGCGGCCTGGACCTCCTCCTGGCTGAAGACAAACAGGTCCCTCTCCATGCCCCAGCGGGCCAGCTGCCCCAGCGCGCGCAGGGTGGCCAGGCCGGCGCGGAGGGCCTCCGTCTGGCTCTGCGTGTTCCTCTGCACCAGGCTGGTGGGCTGCGTCCTGTTCAGGTGGACCTCGGTGACCAGCAGGAACACGTCGGTCAGGGTCACCGTGCAGTCGGGCAGCTCTGGGGGGCTGTCGAAGGCGCCGTGGAAATGCTGGAAGCAGCGGAAGATGATCCAGCAGAAGAGGGGCACGGCGCACAGGCTGCAGAGGTTGGGGTTGGCCTCCAGCTGGTCCAGCAGGCGGTCCTGGGTGGCCCGGTCGGGGAACATCCTCCTGGCGTAGGCCCGCAGGTGGCTGCGGGAGAAGCCCCGCAGGAGCACCTTCTTCCGAAGGAGCTGGCGCGGGACCTCGATGCCCGTGCGGGCCGTGAGCAGCTTGGTGGCCCCCTTGAGCAGCACCCCGCTGAGCAGGTTGGCCAGCAGGACCAGGGGGTGGGCCGGCTCCCAGGGCGACGAGGTGTCGGGCACGCGGCTCAGGTCGAAGTCCGAGTGGAGCTCGTCCAGGCCGTCGAAGGTGAAGAGGGCGGCGTGGGGGAAGCGCAACAGGAAGGCGAACACCTCCTCGGGGTCCTGCTCCGGGTAGCAGCAGTGCTTGAAGAGCAGGTCCTGCAGACTCAGCATGGCGCCCTCCTTGAAGCAGCTGAACATGCGGCAGCGGAAGTGGAAGGAGAACTTGAGCCGCGCGTCCAGCTGGCCGGCGGCCCAGAGGCTCTGCAGCCGCTGCAGCAGCATGGACTTGCCCACGCCCGCGTCGCCCGAGACGAAGATGGTCTCGCCCTGCTCGTTGAGGACGCCCGTGGAGTGGTCCAGGAGGTGGGCCAGGCTGCCTGGGCTGCCCAGGCTCTCGTTGCTGAAGCTGACCAGTTCCATGATGGTGTCCGTGTACACCTCCTCCAGCAGCACCTCCTCCTTCTGCGAGTAGCACAAGATGAACTTGGAGTCGCGGCCCAGCTGGTGTCGCAGCTTCTGGATGTACCTGCTCACTGGAGGGGGGTGGGGTGGATGGGGTACCCGCATCCGGGGGTAGGGGTGGGGGTGAGGGAGCCCAGGAGAGGTGGAGGCAGAGAGAGAGAGAGAGAGAGAGAGAGAGAGAGAGAGAGAGAGAGAGAGAGAGAGAGAAGCAGAGACCAAGCAATCAACCAGGGAGGCTGCAGGAGAAACAAGCACACAGATAACCCCACAGCCTGGACCCTGAGGCCAAGGGCCAAGATGCCGCAAATGCAGGCCCTGAAGACACTCGGGGAGCCAGAGCTCCAGGATCTGTAGGTCGTCAGCCTGAACAGCTCTGCCTGACCTCAGACTTAGCCAGCCAGAGTGTGACAGCTTCAACTGGGCCCAGAGTCTGGGACAGGCTCCCTGGTCCTCTGCACAAGTGGTCATTTTTAAAACTACAGCTAAAAACTGAAGCTCCCTCACATTCCAGGGCCAGGCCACGGGGCCCCCCCGCCCCCCCACCCGCCCCCCTCCCCACCCGCCCACCACCCCATCCCCAGGACCCTGTTTGACTAGCTAGACCAGCTGTGGGCAAACTACGGCCCGCGGGCCGGACCCGGCCAGTTTGAAATGAATAAAACAAAACAAAAAAAGACCATACCCTTTTATGTAATGATGTTTACTTTGAATTTATATTAGTTCACACAAACACTCCATCCATGCTTTTGTTCCGGCCCTCCGGTCCAGTTTAAGACCCCACTGTGGCCCTCGAGTCAAAAAGTTTGCCCACCCCTGAGCTAGACTCTAGCAGCGGTTCTCAATGTGTGGGTCGTGACCATCGGAAAACACATATAGCATATCAGATATTTACATTACGATTCACAACAGTAGCAAAATTACAGTTATGAAGTAGCACCGAAAATAATTTTATGGTTGGGGGTCACCACAACATGAGGACCTGTATTAAAGAGTCGCAGCATTAGGATGGTTGAGAACCACTGAGCTAGAGCCAGACCCCAAGGAAACCCGTGCTGTTGAGAAATTGCCCTGACCTTTCTATGGCTTCCTGTGCTGCTCTGGAAGCAACTCGTAGTCTCACAAAATCACATGCCAAGACTTTTGGTGATGAAATGAGCACTGGATGTTACTCTGGGTGACACAGGAGCTGCGTCTCCTCTGAATCACCCCCAGTGAGTAAAGGAAGATGAAAGCAGCCTTCTCGCCCTAGGAAGGGCACACCAGCCCTGTTCCCAGAGGAGCCCTGGGCCGCACTGATGTTTAGCATGTGCCCCAGGGTGACCCCTCTGCCTGCCCCAGGGGCGTACACGCAGTGACATGCTTACATGGCGCCATGCTCGCAGCAAACCAGAGCTCAGAAATGGGGCTCACACCAGAAGGGAGGTGGTCCTTCCCCACACTCAAGGTGTCCCGGGCCCTGGCATCCAGCACACCGCCCTGGCACATTAACACCTGTTGCCTAAGGGGATGCCACGGTGCTTTGCAAATAAGGACTGGCAGTCAGGGGTGACAAAAGAATACGTTGCCTAGAATCAAACCTGGAAAGATTTTTAAAAAGGAAAAAAATGCAACCTTAAACTTGTGCAACTATGAGAATAGGAAGAGAGCAAGAGGTCAGAACAGAGGCATTCCCCACTTCCACAGGCCCCTGCACAGAGCAGACCAGCTGCCTGTGGTCACTTCCATGACAGCCCCCCTGGGCTGCACGTGGGCGACAGGGACAGCTCTCCTTTGCTACAAGGAGCACAGCACCCGGGCAGGAAGGCAGGGCTGGCCGTGATGGACCAGCTTCGTGTCCTCTTGAGCCTACAGCCTTTCCAAACCTTGGGCTGTGTGCTTGGTGTCTGCAGTCCACAGACACCGCCCCCCCCCCCCGCCCCCCAATATACACACACACACACCCTGTCCCAGCTGACTCATACCTGGATCAGTGTTGACAACAGTTTTGCTCTGAATGAGCTTGGAAGGGGAGAAGCCGATCTCCATCAGCCAGGGCCTGAGGTCCACGTAAGCATCTGCGAGTCGCTGGAGCACGAAGAGGAGGAACTCGGACACCTCCTCGCCCTTGCTCTGTACCAGGTCCAGAATCTTGCGCACCTGGTGGCGGCACAAACATGAGGGCGTGAGCGTGGCCCTAGGGGTGCGCACCCATCGGAAAGGCCCACAGCTCTTACTACAGCCTGGGGCTTGACCATCCAGCCAGCCAGAGGAGATGCTATGCGTCGAAGGCCTAGAATCTGTGGACTGGGCCACCTTAGCTGGAAATAAAGCCACGCAGCTCTACAAAACCAGGAGGCTCCTGTGGGCCTAAAAGTAAGGTTAGACTCACAGCTAGAGCTGTGCCCACCTCTGCACTGTGCTCCGTGTCTCCTTTTCCCTCTTAAACTAACACCACTGCTCTCTCGGAATGCGCCTCAGGGGAGAAAGTCACCCCTTCGGCATATGAGGTGGGCACTGGGCCAGCCCGCCAGGGTACAGGAGACCCCCATGTAAGTTATACCATTAGAAAGGCTTTTTATATTATTAAAACCTAGAGGCCCGATGCATCAAAATTCACGCACTGAGGGGGGTCCCTCAGCCCAGCCTGCCCCCTCTCACAGTCCAGGAGCCCTCAGGGGCGAGAGGCGACCCAGCGATCAGGGGAAGGCGATGCCCCCATCACACCTCTGCTGCTGCCACTGCTGGCAGCGCCAGCCTCGGCCAGCCCTGGTTACCTGCACCTCGGGCAGCCCTGGGTGGCTGGGGGACTGAGGGGACCGGGGGACTTGGAGGTAGGCATGCAGAGTGGCTGAGGGGACTGGGCACCACCATCTTGTGGCTGTGGGCGCCGCCATCTTTGAGGGCAGGGCAGTCAATTAGCATATTCCCTCCTTATTGGCTGTAGGTGCCGCCATCTTCAAGGATGGGGCAGCAATTAGCATATTCCCTCCTTATTGGCTGTGGGCACTGCCATCTTTGAGGAGTGGGATAGTCAATTAGCATATTCCCTCCTTATTGGCTGATCTCTGCGACAGCATGAGGGTAAATTAGCATATTCCCTCTTCATTAGATAGGGTGAAGGGGGAAAATTACAACAGTGAGCTACTGTGCTTTCCCAGAAACCCTTCAGGTCTCTTCTGAGTCCAGCAGGCTCGCATGTCAAACAGGTCTGTCACTCCTCTAAGCAGGGAGGGGTGTGGGGTCTTGCCAGTTTTATTTTTCAGGTGACACAAGGCTGGAGTGAAACGAAGGGCTGTTCAGACTTCCCACAGGGGAGTGGGAAGAATTCTTTACTGTGGACCCGGCTTCAAATGCAGTCATCCAGACCAGAGGGCCATGCTGAGTCTCAGCAGTGAGCAGCTTCCCGCGTTTAAAGGCCCTGATCAGGGGTGGGGAACGTCTGCCCACAGGCCGTATGAGGCCCATGGAGTCATTTGGTCTGGCCCTGCCCAGGCAGTAGGGGCAAGTTAATTAAATGTTTGACCAAATAGAGCAGACTGACTTTTAAGTTGATAATTCTATATTATCAGCCAGCGAATGATGCTATAACTATCCAAGTGGCCCCTGGCAGAAATAGGTTCCCCGCCCTGCAACGTGCAGCTTGTTTTCTTTCTCCCTTCTACTCAAAGTGAAGTTAAGATTGGGCTGGTGGGGGGCCAATGCGCACGGCCAGGAGAGGGATGGGTGGCTGCACTTGACATGAACACAGAGATAAAACACATAGTTGTGTAACAAGCCCATCAGGCAAGGCCTTATGTTCTAGAAATGACTGCGATGGGAAATTCTGCCCAACGTACTTGGCATCCTGCCAAGGCCACCCCCTCCCCCCCCCAGTCCCCATCCCCAGCACCTTGTCGGGCTGTGTGGGGCAGGCGCCCACGATCTCCGCATCTTCGGCCGAGAAGTACTCATTCTCCAGCAGGTTGTCCACCAGACACTGCGTGCTGCGGATGTGAGTGACCAGCAGCTCACGGTTGGTTTTCAACAACTTAATGTGGGAGTGAAGAGGCTCCGACGGGGCTGTGTCCATCTCACCGCGGTCCCGCGTCTCCATGGTTAAAGCAGCAAGTGGCCCCGGGTCCCATGTTCATCCTGGCTGCACGTGTCTTCCCGGCGGAGGACAATCGGGACCCAGGGCTCCTGCCTCTCAGTGCGGCCCCTGAAGGGACGAACGCAATCACCAAGGAGGCCTGGGCCAAAGGGTCCCTCCCTCTCTTCTGGTCCCGGACCACATCTACCCAGAGCAGGCGGGAGTCATGCTCACACAGCGACCTGAGGCCACGGCAGAAAACATCCTCACTGACTGGGGGTGCCATTGCTAAGGTGGGTGATCAGAGGTAAACAGGCCTTTCTGTTGGCTTGTCTTAGCAAAACTTTTAAATGGTTATTTTTATTTTAAAGTGTGCCTCAATCCTAGACGAGAATAGAGATGAAAAAGTATATTATTTTCCATAAAAAGGTGAACTGGGACTGGGACTGGGAGCCTCTTCAATACCATAAAGAGTCGGTTCACACATATTTTGTATGTTACATGTATTATATACTATGTTCTTACAAAGTAAGTGAGAGAAAAGAAAATACTGTTAAGAAAATCATAAGGAAGAGAAAATACACTTACAGTATTTACTGAAAAAAAAAATCTGTCTATAAGTGGACCGGCGCAGCTCAAGCCCATGTTGCTCAAGGGCCCTTGGTACCTGTGTTTCCTGTACCTTTCCCATCATGGCGTGTTTCTTGGAACCACCGAGACCCCCTTCTGCGCTGCAGAAGCTGGTTTCTGACAGATGCTCTGCTCACCTGGTGTTCAGTTTATCAGGAAGAATGAGACCCACCCACCAGCCCTTGCTCTGTGAAAGCCCCGCACCTGGGAAATCCCATGCGCCAAACGGAGGATCAAATGATGCTCAATGGTAGCACCTTCCTTGGCCAGGCCCTGCCTGCCTGAGCCACCAAGGCAAACCTGAGAGCCTTCGCCAGCTGCCAATCACATGACAAGATGCTGTCACCAGGGGGACCGAGGCAGGCGGGCCTGGGTGCTGGGGAGCCTCCAGGAGGTGGTGGGCCCTGCCACCCTCTCCTGAGGGCTGTGTTGCTAGGGGACCCCAGCAGGGCACAGAGTGATCAGAGCTCACGCCGAGTACGCGTGCTGCTGGGCCCAGCACGGGTCTAATGCTCCTCTCGCTGGGAGAGGCAGGATAACACTGGTCTCTATATCAGCCCGGCTCATCAGCCAGTTAACCGTCCTCCCCGTGCCTCAGTTTCCTCACAATGAGAATCCCTACCTCTAAGGGTTCCTGTAAGGACTAAGTTAATATTCACCAGGTGCCTAGATCAGGGCTGGCCTACAGCAAATACTCAGTAACTATCACCTCATTTAATCTTCAATCACTCCGTCCTTAGGATAGCCATAGGTGGTCACTGGTCCTGTTGGTTTACAAACCAGGAAACTGAGGCACACAGAGGTTAAGGCGCTCCCTCCCTGCACTCACAGGGTTTACAATCCGGCAGGGCAGACAGTGTGGTGAGCATCGGGGATGGATGAGAAATGGACGGAGAGGGCCAGGGCATCCATAGCTCTACCTCAGCTGCCTTGTCCCCCTGGAGCCCTTTGTAGTGGAAGGGAGAGGTGGGTAGAGCCCTTGTCTTTTAGGGAACTTGAACTTGAGACATCCAGAGAGTCCCAATAGCCCCTAACACACGAGTGGTGGGTCAAGGTCGCCCACTGCTGAGGGACATAGCCTCCAGGTCACCCAGACCTGCCAACCCTTCTCCCGGATGTCAAGGGTCGTTTCCGACTCTCCTCACAGCCTCCTCAGACCGTTTGCCATGAAGAAGATAGTGACACCATGTGTGTTGCCAGGAACCACTTGGATATTCAAGGACAAAATGGTGATGGGAACAGCACGGCCTCCCCGCTCGCCAGCTGCCCCCCGGCAATCGACCAGGAAGCTAGCCCTGGGCACACGCCACGCAGCATGGACAGAGCTGCACACAGGACACGTCGCACCGTGGGTCACCTCGAGTGGGTCCTGCTTTCCCTGCTGCACAGCCCACCCCAACATCAGCTCACTTACGCTCCCAGGCTCCAGAAACCCAACAAACTCGAGCCACCATTCTTCAGGGAACCCTGTCTCTCCTGGTTGGCTTTTGTCTTTTGTGGGATTTTCTTTTTTTAATCTATTCCTTTTCCTTGTTTTGTTTTCCATCTCTTCACCTGGAACACAAGTCCAGGCCCGTATGCCTCTGCCATACCAGAAACGAAAAGCGCCCTCCGGAGAAAAGTTAGCAGGTAGATGAGGCTACAGTTATTATTTGAAGCTTTTAAGCTCCATTAACACTCATTTTCTTGAAGTATCTGAAAGCACTTAATTCCTCAGAATTTCCAAGCAGATTCGAAGTCTCTCTCAATCTCTCCTCTCCTTTTTGCTCTGCCTCCCCGCTCTCTCCCTCCATCTCTCTGTCTCCTTTTCTCTCTCTCTTCTTAACATACCGGACAGCCTGCACTCCGGACACAGACGCTGTCACCCTGACTACAAAGAAAGGCACACAGAGCCGACGGGGCCAGACACTGACAGAACACAGACAACCTTTCCCAGCTGCCGGGCCTTCTGGGAAGCCACGTGCCTGGCTCATTTCTCAGAGCCAAGCATGTCTTTCTGGTCAATAAACTCTGCTGAGTGCATGCAGAGCCAGCCCCGCCTAGTCTGCCGAAACCACAGACTTCTGGAATAGAACAGAGTGCTGTCCAACACCCCCATTTTAGAGACGAGGAAACTGAGGCCTGGGAAGGGCCGAGGCCTGTCTGGATCAACTAGAACTGGAGCCCAGGTCTCAAGTGCTTCTTCTGCTTCCCTCTGGTTAGAGGAGCTCCCTTGGCAGCTGAGGGTGTCATACCCCCCTCCCTCACCCCCAGCAGAGAGCCATTCGGAAGCAGGCACGGACAGGGGCTCTACCTCACCCTGTGCCTCCCTCAGCCTCTCTCTCCCGCTGGAAACTCCCAGGACACTTTATCCCCCCCTTCTCAGAGGACGTGGTACTTTCTTTTCTAAATTCCCCCTTCTCACCGATGGATGGAGGCAGTGAGGACAAAGACTCTAGGACCAGGAGACCCAGTTCCAATCACCTGCTGTGTGATTTGCACAAATGACAGCACCCTCCTGGGCTTCAGTGCTCTTACCCGCAAAATGCAGAGAATAACAGCACCTACCTCGTGGGAACCCCGTGGGGATTGATTCATGAGTGAATACACACACGGCCCTCAGAACAGCGCGGTCACATTGCATGCACTTAGCATGAGCGAGGAGCAGGTGGTCTAGGCCAGGACGTCCGTCTGCTTCATTGTTGAGGCCCAGCATTTGACTATGAGGGACAGTGTCCAGCTGGCTAGTCACGGTACCTCCAGCAGAGATGCGGAGGAAGCCAGATAAAAAAGGGTCAACTGAACGAACCTGGCACAGGGCACTGCCACAGCAGGTGCCTCGTCGGTGCCCACCAAGGAATCTGTAGGTTTCCAGAGCTCGTAGGCTCTCAGAGAGGGTTTACTTAATTTACTGAGTTTACTCCTGGATAATTTCCGATGTGCAAGCCCCAGTCGTTTCACTGCTCCAAGTTTAACAAGTTTGCCCAGAGCCCAGCTCTCAACTTCCAGAGCACCGTCCTGGCACGGAACCCCTCCTGCTCTGGGACAGTGGCTCACACAGTGCCTTCCGGGGCTGCTATGTCTTTGCTGGCTGCCATTTTCCTGGGGTTGTCAGGTTTTGAAAGCCAAAGCGCCAAAAACACCCTGCTTGGTACTCATCTCTGAGGGGCCGGAGAATGCAGACACCTTAATGAAGACAGACGGCCGCGCCTGGAACCAGACCCGGTCTGGAGCTCTGTAAGTGGATGTAAGTGCTTCTGCGGAGGAAAGGACTGCACGGCCACAGGCCCGGAAGCCAGGGGACATCCGGAGATGGCACTGAGGACCGACACAGAGGTGTCTGGGGTTTCTCAAGTGAAAGGCACTCAGCAAGAACAACATACATTAGTCACCTCAGAGGCCGGCGGTGAACTTGGCCTTGGGCACATAAACACTCTGCTGATTGCTGGCCGAGACACTGAGCCCGAAACTGATTCTCCCCACTTGGGTGTGTGTCCGCACTCAGCAACGGTCTCGGACACAGAGGACCCCGCAGCTTGGCCGGAGGGTACCTGCGGCGTGCTGGGGCGGCTCCAAGGGGCACTGAGAGGTTGGGAAGATGCCAAGTTCTCCCGAGATGGCACACCCTGGGCCTGGACCGCCCCATGGGGTGCTGTGGTAGGAGCAGGCCGCCCAGCCAGCCGAGACACACCTGACCTGCCGCTGCCTCTCACTCTGTGACCTGACAACAACTTCCCAGGAGCGAGGGGGAACGGGGCGTGTGGGCCCCTCCACACCAGCGGGCACGCACCGTGGGTTCTCGGCCCCTCACCATTCGGAGGCTTTTTCTGTGCCCTGAAAGCCCCAAATAAACAATTTTTTCCTCTAAACCCTGTACCTTTCAAGTGTATGCAAGTTCCCCGGTGAGCACTGGGGTGTAAGGAAGAGGGTGATGAGCAAGGGACTTTTTAAAAGGTGGTGAGTGTGCGTGGAAAAGTCCCCCGCACCTCTGATGGGATGGTGTTTAAATGCTGTTGTGCCCATCTGAGCCCCGTCCCGGGAACTGCCAATCCCGGTTTCTGTCTTCCCAAATACCCCACACACCTTTCTGGGGGAAGGTATGTTTTATTTCAGATGACATTTATCTGAAAATAAACATCATAATCCACTTTCATAACATCAGTTGATGCCAGTATCAGGTTCCCCCACCCTACCCCACCCAGCGGCTATTAGCTCATCCAGTGTAAGCAACGGCTGAGGTTAAAAGTTGCAAATCTGGGTGGATTCATAAACAGGAAGCTCTTTGGAAGTGGGGCCCTGTGTCCAGAAACACAGCTCTACAAAGACCATCAATAAGCACGCCGGCCAGTCAGTGACAGGAGCTGAGCGTAGAGGCTGGGGGACTCCCTGAGCGCTGCTTCAGTGCCTAGCAAATGGGAGCCTGTTTCAAATCCTGGGTGCAGCACTTGCTGTCCGGTGACTTGGGGCTAGTTAGTTAGCCTCATTGTGCCTCAGTTGTCCCATCTGTAAAATGGGGAAAATGATAGCTACTGCATAGGATTGTTGGAAAGATTAAATGAGAGAGAGAGAGAGAAAAAAAGCCCCAAACCTAAAGCCTTTGGAGCAATGCTGTACATAGTAAGTCGTGTAAGTGTTGGCCATTATTATCCAGGGTCTACCAGGTCAGCTGCATCATCATTTACTTCCTTTCAAGCCTCACACCAACTTTCCAGATGGGTCGAGTCAGCCCCATTTTACAGATAGAAACCGGGGCTCTTGAGGACTAAGTACCTTATTTAAAAGCAACATAACCAGGACATGACAAGGAGAGCCCCTGAACCCAAGGAGTCATCATAACCATTATTAACATAATAATGGCCATTTACTGAAAGCTGGTTGGTGTGCTAAACACTTTACACCTATTATTTCATTAAATACTCAAAACTGCTCTAAGGAAAGAATTAGTGTAACTATTTTACAAAGGAGGACATGGGGCTGGAACAGTGAAATATGTTGGCTGAGGTCACACCGTAATTTAGGGACTAAAGCAGGGGCTTGGTCCCAGTTCTGACACCAAAACCCATGGTTTCTTCCACGAAAGGCCTGCCTGTCTGGTATTTTGTTATAGATCTTTCATCCACTTGAAATCATCAATGTGCCTGAGTTCACATGACATGTAAGACCCTGGCCTTGTTCAATAAAGTCCAGGAATGGCCCTCTCCATCCGGGGACCCATCTATTGTCCTGGATTGTAAGAAGTCAAGCTCTCCCCCCATAAAAGCCTAGTTTTCTATCCATTTCCTTCTAGAAAGTTTGGGTTGAGGATCTGAGATAGCAATTGGGAAGTGGGCTAAAACAAATCACAGGAAGTTCTGAGTCACTAGACTTTTATCTTTTGGGAATTAGAACAACCCAAATATTTTCTCAAGTAAATCATCATCTGCTCACAGATCTTCTTCTTCCATGGAAGGATTTCCCTCAGCAATATGTGACTGCCCTACCCAGTTACACGTGGCTCTGAAAACACCTACCAGTCACTACATCTTTACCGCCCCAACCTCTATGGTGGTGCGAACACATGGACGGGCCAGGGATATCCGCATCCCGAAACAAAGGTATCACAGTGGCGACTTCATGTTTTACCAAAACATGAACCAACCAAAACCTGGTGCTATCCGGGTGCTCCCTTTGCAATTATGTGGGCCTTCATGCTGACCTACTTATTAGCTCTTTAAACTACAGTTTTCTATAACTTACTAGAAGCCCAGTGCACAGATTCGTGCACCACTGGGGTCCTTCAGCCTGGCCTGCACGATGGGGCCGAAATCGGCTCTCTGACATCCCCCCAGGGGTTCTGGATTGCGAGAGGGCACAGGCCAGGCCAAGGGACCCCACCGGTGCACGATTGGGGCCGGGGAGGGACACAGGAGGTTAGCCAGCCAGGGAGGGATCACAGGAGGGCTCCAGGGCATGCCCAGCCCATCTAGCTCAGTCCGATTGGCTGTACTCTAGCCGCAAGCTAACCTACAGGTTGGAGTGTCTGCCCCCTGGTGGTCAGTGCATGTCACAGCAACTGGTTGACCAGTCAACTGTCTTCCCCCTAGTGGTCAGTGCAAGTCATAGCGAGGAGTGGTTGAGCATCTTAGCACATCATTAGCATATTATGCTTTGATTGGCTGAACAGCCGACCAGTTGACTGGACACTTAGCATATTAGGCTTTTATTATACAGGATAGGAACATTACTATTTAGGAAAACAAATTCCAAAGTGGCAGTCTACTCAGTTTACTAAAGATACCCTATTGGTTTTAATGACGTGTAACACAAAACAGCCTTGCTGACGCTAAAGAAGCACATTTCTTGCTAGGGCACTCTGCCCCATCAGAGGGCCAGGCCACCCTCAGAGTGACAGCATCCCCCGTCCGGCTGGCTCCCTGGCTCCAGAGGCTGGAAGGATGGCAAAAGGGAGGGGGGTGACAGCAAGTTTGCCTTGGCTGACTCTGCTCTGTAATCTTGGCCTACAGTCTGGTCTGGGGCAGTCCTGGATAAAACACAAGACTAAGAATTCAAGCCAGGAAGTCTTGCTTCCTAGCACTGGGTAAAAACCACCAATTAATGGAAATGCCAGTGACTACTCACTCCTCAGTACAAGAGTCAGGTTTGGGAAAAACACTTGCCCTCAGTGAGCATTTGATGTGCCAGAGTTTTCCTCCAAAGCAGTTCAGACTCTGCGTGTGGATGAAAGGAGGCCCTTGGTGTGAGACACAACTGACTTTGCCCAGAAGATAAAGGAAAACAGGACTTCCAGAAACCTGCAAAATACTTAAAGCTTCTGCACGACAAAAGTTAGTACAGGTAAAAATTTTAGTTTTTCTAATTTCATCTTGCCTAAAATCCCCCCAAAAAGAAGAATCATAAGGAAACTGGTAACTTAAACCTCTAATCCCAGGCTTATGTCTTAGATTTTGAAGAATTATTGAACTCATTTATTTGGATAAAAAGAGACAAGAATTTGATATTCTTCAGTTAAATATCATGATTGCACATATACTGTAAAAACACTTACACCTATATTATGTCACTGTATGTCTAATGACTTAACAGGGCTGCTGTTACTATCCAAGTGATCATCAATGGCAGATGGAGTGGATACCAGGGTGAAATACTCAGCTGGAATGCCGTCATTGACAATTGTCGGATGTGGGTCCCCTCCTCCCCAAATTCCTGACTGTTTTTGGTCTTCCAAGAATTCATTGTTCCTAGGCCCAGAGTCAGGAGCAAAACACCAACAGCCTGGATGTGGTCTAAGGACGCTGCCAGCACATCTGAGACCCTGCAGGCAGCTCATGTGACATTTGATACACATTTTCTCATTTAACTATGTAAGCGCCGAGACAGGTACAATGTTAACCCTCACTGTTCAGGTAAGAAAACAGGGGCTCTGAGAGTCAGATAACTTGCCCACGGTCACATGTCACATGTGGCAGACTCTGAATCTGGGTTCAAATTTGATGTGCTCCAAAGCTTAAACGTATTTCTCCTTTCCACAAAAATAAAACCTACTTCACAGACCCTTTGGAAGTCCACGCTTCTCCTAGGTCTCAGGTGTTGTTTGTTTTCAATCCACCTTTCTTATCTGCCCCGCATGTTCGGTAGAAGCCTGTCTCTTGTCCAGAGACCCTTCTTGGTGGGATCACAGCTATGTGCCCCCAGGACCTACCCCAGGGTGAGGCGGGTCCATCCTGTGCTCTCCTAAAATCCATGGTAGATCATGGTTCCCTGGACATGGTAAATCTTAGGTGTACTTTTAGCCGGACGGACCTGTGGCAAGCTTCATCCCTAAAGCAGGAAACCTAGAAGTTGTCAGGCCACGGGTTTACTGTTTCCCCAGCTAAATGTGAAATGCCAACAACTGAGGCATTTCCCAGAAGGCAGAGCAAGTGGGCAACGTAACCGCATTCCTCCTGTTTTTCACAATGTGCGCAAAGGCTGAATAGCTGGAGCTCTTTGGAACACACCCCTTCTTTTCTGCGCAGGAAGCCGGAGGGAAGCCCTGCCTGGCTGCATTTTGGAATCACCCGGGGAGTTTCAACGACGCCAAGGCTGGGGTGCGGCCCTGGCATCTGGATTTTCAAAGCGCCCAGGAGATTCTAAGGTGCAGGCAGGGCTGAGCAGCCCCGGCCAGACCAGCGTGGGACAAACCACTCCGCTGAGGCTCCGGTTCATGCCTCCGGACTGTCTCCGCGCGTTCCTCACTCCCGGTTTCCCCGCCCTGTGCCCTGGGAGCTCTCCCGGAGCCGCTCTGCGTTCCGCCCGCACGCGGGACCCCGCCGCCCCGCGCTCAGGACCCCGGAGACGTCTGCCCGCGAACACCCGCCCCGCGCTGGGACTTACGTGGCCGCCAGGTTTGCAGAGCGGGGGCGCGGGCCGGCGCGGAGGACCGGGCGAGGCCGGCAGCGGAGGGGAGCAGGGCGGGAGCCGCCGCCCGCCGCCCAGACCGGGAAGTGGGGGAGGCAGCGGCGGCCGCGCCCCCTGGCAGCTGCGGGAGGGGCCGGCCGCGCGGGGGCGGGGCGGCGGGGCAGCGGGGCTGCGGGGCGGGGGCGCAGGAAAGCGGGCGGCGCGGAGCGCGGCGCAGAAGGTGGCCTCGGGCAGCCCCTGGGGCGCTCCCCTGCGGAGCCCGGGTGGCCTGGCCGCGCTGGGGCGAGGGGCGAGGGGCGAGGGGCGAGGGGCAGGCCCGAGAGCCCGCCTAGGGGGGACAGGGGGACTGTCGCTCCAGCTGGGCGAAGGCCGCCGAGAGCCCAGGGCCGTCACCCTAAAAGTGCCAACCCAGCAGCTGCAACTAGAGGCAACGCCTGGGCACGACAGTGAAACTTTTTTCCCCCCAATTGAATTTAGTGGGGTGACATTGGTGAATAAAACCACACAGTTTTCAAGTGTACACCTCTACAAGTGTTCACCTGCACACTGCATCGTGCGCTCACCACCCACAGTCAAGCCCTTTCCTCCACGGGTTACCCCCCTGCGCCCTCTTCCAGCTGCCTCCAGACGGCGAAACTTGTTAAAATGTGACACATGCTCTCTGATGAATCCGAGTTCAAAGTAAGCAAACTTTTAAAAGACAGAGCACACACTTGGAGTTACACTTTTTAAAATCTAAGCTTTTCTTCCTGTCCTTAAATCAGCTCGTGGTGGTGTACATTTTATATTCTCTACGTTATGCTGTAATGACTTGTAAAGGAATCCTTAACATAATAAATTTCCCCATAAAAATATTGTAAACTTTTGAAATGGGGAAAGTCTACATTAGGCATAGGGATGCTGTAAAAAATTGTCACTTATTCACACAAAAATGCATTCAATTATGGGACCACGCATGCTCATGAATACTGGCATTCCCATCAAAGGCTGCCTTCTGGGAAAGAATGTTCATAACTCAGAAGTGAAACTTGGCAAAAGTAAAATTGATAGGATACATTGTGCAAACTTCTACGCACTGAAAAGATGCTAAAGATACTAATTCCTTCAGTTTACCCTTGTTTGAACCTCTAGGATTCTGCATTTTATTTTCCAGGTCTTTTTAACTCTCATCCCCCCCCCCCCCCATATCCTGTTTTATTGCATTCTGAGTAAATTCTTCCGTTCTGTTTTTCATTAATTATTTTGTGACCATTTGAATTTGCTGTTTAACCTGCCTGGGATAGGCAGAGTAGTCCCTCCACCTCCTCCATGAGGTCCACCTCCTATACCTTGAACCTGTGAATGTGGCAACGGAGAAGTAAGGTAGCAGGTGGGATGAGGAAGGGCGCTAACCGGCTGACCTTGAGATGGGAAGATGATCATGGATTGTTTGTATGTGGGCCGAATGTAATCACAAAACTCTTATGAGGGGAAGAGGGAGACAGAAGAACCAGAGATGGCAGCCTGAGCAGGATGTGGCCTGATGTTGCTGGCTTTGACGAAGGAGGAATGGGGCTATGAGCCACGGAATGAGTGTGGCTTCTGGAAGCTGGAAAAGTAGAGGAAACATTCTCCCACAGAGCCTCCAGAAGGAGCGCTGTCCTGCTGGCACTTTGATTTTAGCCTTAGGGCAGTGATGGCGAACCTATGACACACGTGTCAGAGGTGACACGCGAACTCATTTTTTTGGTTGATTTTTCTTTGTTAAATGGCATTTAAATATATAAAATATCAAAAATATAAGTCTTTGTTTACTATGATTGCAAATATCAAAAAATTTCTATATGTGACACGGCAACAGAGTTAAGGTTTTTCAAAATGCTGACACGCCGAGCTCAAAAGGTTTGCCATCACTGCCATAGGGAGACTCTTTTAGACTTCTGACCTCCAGAACTGGAAGATAATAAATTTGTTTTGTCTTAAGTTACTAAATTTGTGGCAACTTGTTACAGCAGCAGTAGGAAATCAATATACCGTTCATTTGAGTATTTAACTTCAACAATAATATATTTGCTTTCTAAGAATCTTCTGGTTCCATTTCTAGTTTTCTTGGTCTTTTTTAAATCTCCTGTTCTTTGCTGGTTCCATCATTTTTTAAAAAAATGCATATGTAGTTAATTCTTGTAGTTAAACTTTGAGATAATTATAAATTGGCATGCAGCTTTCAGAAATAATGCAGAGAGATCCATGTACCCTTACTGGTAACATCTTGCAATATCACATCCAGCATGTGAGGCACTGACACAGTTAGGATACAGAATATTTGCATCACTACAAAGATCCCTCACATTCTCCTTTTATATCACACAACCCCCTCTTCAACCACTAATCTGTTCTCCATTTCTATAACTTGTCATTTCAAGAATGTTATGTAAATGGAAGCATACAGTATGTAACATTTGGGGATTGTTTTTTTATTCACTCAGGGTAATTCTCTGGAGATTCATCCAGGTCACTGCATGGATCAATAGTCCTTCCCTTTTTATTGATGAACAAGTAGCATTTCACAGCATTACCACACAGATCGCTTCACTGTTCACATGTTGAAGGACATCTGGGTTATTTCCAGTTTTGGGCTATTATGAATAAAGCTGCTATAGACATTCATGTACAGGTTTTTATGTGAACGTAAGTTTTCATTTCTCTAGGAATGAAAATACCCAGGAGTCCAACTGGGTAGTTGCATGTTTAGTTTCTTAAACTGTCAAACTATTTTCCAGAGTAGCTGTACCATTTTATATTCCCACCTTCAAACATATAAGTGATCAATAGTTGGATGGATAAATTGTAGTGTACTCATACAATGAATACAACCATAAAAAAGAATGAAGTGATTTATGCTAAATGTTGGTGAACCTCAAGGACATTAAGTGAAAGAAGCCAGACACCAAGTATCAAAAGAAGTTAAATGATTCACATATTGACTGAAATAGCCATTGATGTTTGTATGTTTACCTTGTATGGTGTGTGTGACCTTGCTGAACTCATTTATTGGTTCTAAGAGATACTTTTGGTAGATTCTTAGGTATTTCCTACATAGACAATCATGTCATCTATAAATAGGGACTGTTTCATTTATTGCTTTCCAACCTGTATGCCTTTCATTTTCTTTTCTTGCCTTATTGCACTGGTTAAAACTTCCAGCACTATGTTGAAGAAGTCATTATGGGGAGGAGGGGTGGGAGGTGGGACTCATTACTGCTGGTGGCTTTTCTGACACCACCCTGGTAGTGGTGGCCAGGGACTGGTGAGGGTACCTTGATACAGCCTGGTGAGGGTAGAATTCTAGGTTCCCTCTTGACCTTTGCTGGCTAGAGGTCAGGGGGTCCACAATTTTTCTGGGGTTTGCTTGGAGTAAAGTATTTATTCTCTAAAAGTTTTGTCTTGCTAGATTGTTTCCTACTCATTTTGCTAGACACAGCAGGTTTTATTATTACTGTTGTCATTTTTTGTTTGTGCTCATTGGTGCTTTGGGGTTACTGGCTTCTTCGGCTACAAGTCTCAGTGAGATGTGTGAAGCAAAAGAAAACCCAGGGAATTCAGTATCATGTCATGCCTTGGGTCCTGAGGTCCCTGGCTAGTCTGCCTTCTCTCCAGCTTTCAGTCTTCTGTTTGTTTTATATAGAATGTTCAGGGATTTTAGCGGTATGTAACTAAAGGATTAGGAAAGAGTATGTCTACTCTATCTTCCAAGAAGTCAAAGTCACCATATATATTGCTAGTGTTTTAATTTTTTTTCCAAAAGTTATAATTTTAGGTGAGCTAGATCATTAGAATAATATTTGATTTTTAGTATCTAAGCAAAACTGAGCTCTGCTCACTGTTATTACCATAACTGTATTAGCAGGTCAGTGACAAACTTGGTCTTCTTTGGAGGAGTTGAGAACTGGAGGAAACGAGAATATTGGAGGGTATACTTGAAACTAGTGAGGTATTAACAGCTATGAAACATGGTCTCACCTGCAGGCTATGGCTCAGTGTCACTGTAGAATCATAGCTGTAGCTGAAAGTCCTTTGGTCATTTTTCCCAGGAGAACACACTGAATCTTTATTTTATGCTCCTGCAGCTAGTTCACTCACATTCCAGGAACCTGTTTGGAGGTCCAGCTCCCTACATTTCTAAGACAGAGGATAGCTTTTTATAACCAGGATTGCTTTATTCATGACTCTTCTTTTCTCCATTTATTCAGTTAATAAATGTTAAGAAGGTGACCATTTCTTTCTAAGCCAAGAATTAATTGTATCTTCGAGAAAACACTTTTTCCTCCTGATCTTGCTTCTTCTACTTTAAAATCCCATTCCAAGGGTGGCCCTGTACAAGCTTAATTCTTCAATAAGAACCAGAATGATGCTAATACTTATTATATGCCAGGTTCTATTCTAAGCTCATTACATATATTTATTCCTCAAAACAATCCTAAGACATAAGTGTTTTGGCTGTCCCCACTCTACAGGCAAGGAAACCGAGGCACAGGGTCAAATAACCCAAAGTCTCCCAGTTGGAGAGTGATGTCTGGTTCCAGAGTCTGTGCAATAATCCTCTAACCACAGAGACTGCATATGGCCAAGGGCAGACCTACTATGTGTGATGATTGGAATCTCTAACAAAATGAAATGCAGTACTTTAGTGGGGAATGTAGGATAAACCACACATGCATGTATTCCTTGAGGAAGAGTGTGGCAGCTTTTAAATTTAAAAAAAAAATTATTATCAACTGTTCTTGCAGCTTGCTTGCTCTTATGAAGCTGATAAAACAAAAACATTTCCAGAACAGAGCGATTCACCAGCACCGTCATTAAGTTGAAAATCTATTCTTTGTCACAGAGCAAGAATACACTTCAGATCCACTCAAGAAAATAACTTCACAGAAAAGTGTTTACAGAAAGACCCACATCCATTTACCATGCATTCCAGTGCCTCATGGTCCCCTTTGCAACTGCCTAACTCCTAACCCAGTTTCTTTTTATAGTCCAAAAACAAGGAACCACTCAGAGATATCCCCTCAGAGCACTGTTGAAAATATATTAAACGTAGAGGCATCCCAGATCCCTGTTCCAAATATTAAAAATATATTAAATGAGCACATAGAGAAAATATCCATAGGTATAGTCTATTTATGTTCTAATGAGTGTTTGTTTCCTTGCTTTTGATAATGTCTTCAATTTCTTCCGAGACCTTTCCTCTGTAGTCATTTGGCTCTATTGCATTTAACTTCTTTTGATACTCCAGGGGCAAACCATTCTCTTTGGCGCCCATGCAAATGACCTAGAAATAGTAAAATAAATAAAAATACCTCTTTTAGTATTTAACTTAGTATACCACAGCTTTATCTGCAGTATCAAAGCATGAAATATTAGCTTTCAGATAATTTTAGAGTAACTCTAGAATAAATAATTCTAGAACAAAATGGAGATATGGTCACTTCTTTCACAATAAGGATGAAAGTGCAGGGAATTTTCAAAGCCACCTGCTAGGCCCTAATGGAATATCAACTCTACTCAGTAGTATGACAAAGTACTTTTATATTAAGACAAAAAACTTATTTATAGACTATGTATAATCTTTTAAGAAAAAACTCTTCTTAAAAAAAATTAAAGTTTACAGGGAGCAGTTTTCATTGAATCCCAGAGTCTAGTCTACCGATGAATTAGACATGAGGAAGTAAAGGGCAACCGTATTCAGTGGTACTTTTCAGATCCACACCAGGCTAATCTGCTAGGTTCCTTACTGGGAAATTCCAGAGCTGGCCTGGAACTGGGCCACCCCTCTGGGTGCCGTGTCCTGACTGGGCCTGCTAACAATTCCTAACTTGGGGTTTCTGAAAAGGGATGTGGAGGTCTCTACCCACATTTTTTTTCCTGTGCTTGTGGGGAGTGGTTTCCTGAAAGGCAGTGTGACTTTTTTTTTTTTTTTCTATCTAGGGATGGAAAACATTTCAGCAGTAGGAAATATATATTTTTCCCAATGCATATTGGTGTTCATGTTTTGTGGAGAGAAAATCGATTACAAAAGCCCACATATAGGAAGAAAATATGTGTCTAGAATTATGAATTATATATATTTCTAACAGCGTTTTAAAATAAAGTTTTAGGAATATAGTTCTATCATTACAAATAAATCTGAATATTGTATTTTAGGTAAATAACTATCATTTTTGTATTTAAATTTTTTTATTAAAATGAATTGTTCATGTAGAATTTAAAACACATAAAGTTTTTAAAAAACAAGATATTGTTTAGATTAGTTCAGTGAAAATTAAGGGGCATCACCCAAAATCTTAGTAAGTAGCTTACCTTTTTATACTGGGGTGAAGGGGGAGCGCTCTCATAATTTCTCATCTGGTAACTTCGACAGGTTATTTTTTTTCCTTCTTGAGTGTAAACATTAATTTCCATTGGGGCATATGTTCCACTATTAACCCCTTCTTGCCTGAAACCAGAACAGCCAAGTTTTAATCATACTTGACTTAGCCAAATTAGTTTACTGTATTAAGAATTTAACTATCTATGGATGTATTTGCTCCCTCTGTATTTTGGGATATAGAACATATTATATAATACTACCACATCCAAAGTAAACTCGGCATTTTCATTAGAAAACCCTAGGTTTACTATTATTTGTTATACTTCTAACAGATCTCTATATTTATTTTATGTAAAAACATGCTTCAATGTAGCTATTTTCTTCTGTATATCCCCGAGACATCAGTCTCTCGGCTACACAAAGTGGACTGTGTGCTGACAGCAGGAGGGTATCCAGCCGGAGCAGAGCAGTTGATGGCTTCCTCGTTCACAGGTGAGTGAAGCACAACGCGGGTCAGATAATCTGCTCTTTGCAAATCTACTCATTTCTGCCAACTTCCTCTGTACTAAATGCTCTGCCTCACAACTCATGGGAATGCTAGTTATAAAAAGTATTAAAGCGCCCTGACTGGTTTGGCTCAGTGGATAGAGCGTCGGCCTGCGGACTCAAGGGTCCCAGGTTCGATTCCAGTCAAGGGCATGTACCTTGGTTGCGGGCACATCCCCAGTAGGGGGCGTGCAGGAGGCAGCTGATCGATGTTTCTCATCAATGTTTCTAACTCTCTATCCCTCTCCCTTCCTCTCTGTAAAAAATCAATAAAATATATATATATGTGTATATACATATGTATTAAAGCATTCCTAGTATGTTAGAAGTTTTCACAAATTATTCTTTCTTTTTACTGATTCAACTGCCGCTGTAAAGAATTAGTTTTTAAATATATTTTATTGATTTTTTACAGAGAGGAAGGGAGAGAGATAGAGAGCTAGAAACATCGATGAGAGAGAAACATCGATCAACTGCCTCCTGCACATCTCCTACTGGGGATATGCCTGCAACCCAGGTACATGCCCTTGACCGGAATCGAACCTGGGACCCTTCAGTCCGCAGGCCGACGCTCTATCCACTGAGCCAAACCGGTTTCGGCAAGAATTAGTTTTTAAAAAATGGCTCTAAAACGACTACTTCCGAAATCAATAAATATGTGTGACAATTTAAAAAATCTTCATGCATTTTCACCATATGAAACTACGAAGATTTATATAAGCAAACAGAATGAAAATAAGGACTTCCATCTTTTACAGAAGGGTTTACACATGTCACCCCCAAATCTCAATCAGAAAGTGTGACCTTCTAGGCTTTTCTTTTTAGGAAATGCACATTATACCTTTTCTATTAACTCTAAAGTGTAAAGAATATGTCTGTAGTATATGGTTTTGAAAAACCAACACATAAAGATACACATCCTTGCATATGATCCACTTTCAGAATTTGTAATTATTTTAATTTATAATTAGAAGCCACCTACTTATCCAGAGAACTTAAATTGCTCTTGTTCATTTTCCATACTACTCCCCACACTTCATCGCCAGGACTTTGAAAAATGGTGGCTATACCTCCATGCCAAGTTTCACTTGTTTTGCCTTGGAAATTGCCAAAGTCAAGCTTAAAATCCTACAAAGAAAACCAAAGTGACATGATCAATATTCTCTTGAACCAAAATTTCCTCAAAAAAGAAAAAAAAGATTTACCTTGAACTTTATGCAATTAAAATATAAACTTTGAGTTCCTTCTATGTGTAAGAAGCTGTGGAAAATAGAAAGATAAACAAAAATCCAGATCTCAAGGACTGTATGTATTCATATTCTTCTTTAAAAATGAAATGTATACTGAATAGGTACAGTATCTTACCATAAACAAAAGGTTTAAGAGGGAAGAAAAATCCCATAATCCCAATGCCTTAACAACTATTTTCATTTTTGAAAATTACTTCCCAGCCTACTTACAGATAGATTTTTAACTTAGAAGCAATCACAGTGTACATAATTATTGAAACTGGGTGAAAGCTACATAGGGGTTATAATATTATCTCTACTTTTATGGATGTAAGGAGCATTGACTAGTATATATCACTATGTTTGCCCTAAGGGAGCTGGCATTTGAGGGTAATTTGTATACATATGAACACTAATCTAATATTCATAAACTGTACTAATATATCTATAATTATCATAAAAGCAACTAACACACTGGAAAATTACTGGGCTCTATATACGTACCGTGCTATGAGCTTTATATGAACTCTCATTTGTATCTTGCCTAATAACCTTATTATACCCATTTCACAGCAAGAAAAACTGTGGCTTACAAAGATTAAGCAACTTGCCTAAGGTCTCATGACTAATAAGTAATGGAGCCAGGTTTCCAGTTTAGCTTCTTCCCTCACAGAGAAGGCACAGTCCTGGGGAAGATGAAAAATCCTTACTTGGCTGTTTGATCTAGGAAGATTGCTTTCCATCTTTCCAGAAATTAGTTCCCTTAATGATAAAGTGAAAAAGGATGGGCTCAATAATAAGTCTAAGGTTTATATTTTATCCTTTATTTTCTTAAAAACCTTCTCAGACATTTTAGGAAAAAGGTTTTTTCAGTGACCAGTACCTTCAACTGGTATCCTGGAACAGGGGTGGGCAAACTTTTTGACTCGAGGGCCACAATAGGTTCTTAAACTGGACTGGAGGGCCGGAACAAAAGCATGGATGGAGTGTTTGTGTGAACTAATATAAATTCAAAGTAAACATCATTACATAAAAGGGTACGGTCTTTTTTTTTTTTTTAGTTTTATTCATTTCAAACAGGCCGGATCCGGCCCGCGGGCCGTAGTTTGCCCACGGCTGTAGATTCTAGGACCAAGTGTCCCATCAAAAGATCTGATAAAAATTACCACCACACTAGGAACTGGTTGTCTATTGCTAAATGCAAGAAACAATTTTCATGCTTCATCTTGTTCCAGTTCTCAGCTGCTTCTGACACAGTTAACCAACCCTGTCTTGATCTGCTTCCTTCCTGACTTTCAGGTTGTTCCTTGATCTCAATTACCTTTGCCAACTCCTCCTCGACTACCTGGTCTTTAAACGTTGGGGTGCCTAAGGGTTCAGTTTAGGCCCTTTTCTCTGTTCATTCAGTAGTCTGCTCAAAACAATCTCAACCCTCCAATAACTTCAAATATCATCTAATATTCCAATCATCTTTTAATCCAACCCAAATCTCTCTCTGGGCTTTAAAAGTGCTTAAAGCAAGCCTAGTACATTCCGTGTACTTAATAAATGTTCATTAATATTGTTCTGCTCACTTGGATGTAAAACTAGCATCTCAAATTTAGTACGTGCAAACTGAGCTTGATTTCCCCTCCCAAACCTGATTCTCCTCTTTAAAAACATCACCCACCCTGTTATTGCACCAACAACCTTAGTCATCCCTATTATCTCTTTCTGCCTTCATCATCAATCACTGTTGACACTGTTACCTCCTAAATATCCCCCAAACAAGGTGTTTCTGCTGTCCTTGGGCAGATGATGACACTGTTACTCCCTAAATATCCCCCAGACCCACCTACCCTCCACTGCTCCCACTCAAGGTGCCATCATCTTTAGTATGGAGCTTTTTAACTGGGCTCCCCACACCCCCTATTGCCACCCCTACCCCTTCCAGTCCATCTCCCACAGCAACCAGAAGAGGTAAATTAAAGATGTAAATCTGATCGTTCCTTTGCTTAAATTCCACGGTGGGTCCTCTCCTGCTCTCAAGATAAAACCAGTCTTCTTTGACCTGTGGTCCTGCAACGTGGCCCTTCCCTACCTCTGCAGCCCTCATGCTGTATCTCCTTCACACACTCAGCTCCAGCCTCACCAGCTGGGGGACCCAGCTTCTCTCCTGAGTGAGGTCTTTTGCACACACCATTCCTTGTTTGTTTCTTCCCTCCCCTGATCATTCAGGTCTTGGCTTAAGCAATCACATTTTCAAGAAGAGCTTTACTGAGCATTCCGGTTAGGTCAGGTCTCCATGTCATACACTCTTATAGCACCTTGTATGTCTCCTTAATAATAATTTTTTAAAAAGGCCACTTTTTTAGAGCAGTTTTAGGTTCTCAGCAAAAATGAGACGAGGGTAAAACTCGTCTCCGTTTTAAGACTAACCACACCTGTAACTGGATAATCATTTTCTTGATAGCTCCCCTCATCATCTCAACTACAAAGTATCTCAACTTCTTTCCCACATTTGGGGGACTCCCTACCTTATGCATGTGGGGGGGCGGGTAGAGAGTGCCAGAGCTCAACTCCCAGTTTTGAAGCTTTGAACACCAGAAGTTGGTTCTCCCAGCTTTTCTTGGGCACGTGACCAAGATCTAGCCAACCTGGACAGCACCCCCTCCTCCTTCCCCGAATCTTAATTATGCCCAAGGACAGCAAAAACTCCACTCTGGTGGTGGCGGCCACATCTGGGTTTCAGGATCTGCAGGGGCGTAGTGACAGCGGCAGGCAGGGTCCAGCACAGATGGTGCTGGCACTGCATGAGGCAGTGCCCACGTCTACCCAGTTCAGCAGGGGTGCAGCCCTGGCCTCCCGGGCTGCTCCTGTCTGTGACGCTGGCTGTATTACCACTGCCATGCCTCCCTTTATGCCTGCCTGTTTTGTCAGCTTTGTGGTCCCAACTTCCTGGTCACTCTGTAAGCTCTCCAACAGCCTTTCAATGCACTCTTTTTCCTGCCTAAATCAGCCACTTTCTGTTGCTTGCAACTAAGAACCCTGATGATGACGGCAGAGGCCCTGTTGAGCTCAACAAGCAAAATGGTTTTGTGACATAATTTGTCTGTGTGCTTCTCCTATAGCCCGGAAGGTCCTCAAAGCAGCCAGCGCTACTCAATCATCTCTGTGTCTCCAGGTTAAGTGCTGGGAAAACATGCAACTAAGAACCCGGATGATCACAGCAGAGGCCGTGTTTGTCGAGTTCAACACGCCAAAACGTTTCGTAACATAATTTGTCCGCGTGCTTCTCCCATAGCCTGGAAGGTCCTCAAAGCAGCCAGCTCTACGCAATCAACTCTGTGTCTCCAGGTTAAGTGCTGGGAAAACATGCAACTAAGAACCCTGATGATCGAGTTCAACACGCCAAAAGGTTTCGTAACATAATTTGTCCGCGTGCTTCTCCCATAGCCTGGAAGGTCCTCAAAGCAGCCAGCTCTATGCAATCATCTCTGTGTCTCCAGGTAAGTAAGTGCTGGGAAAAAAGGAATGAATGGACTGAGCTGAAGAGCATGAGTTTTACCCAGGTGGGCACTGGTTCATCCAGCCACTTGACGGAGCACAGCCCTTAGGAGGAATAAGACATGGTTCCAGCGTTCAGGGCCTCTCCGGTTTTGGGGGGAGGGCGCGGGGCGGTGAGGGATGACGAAAGACAGGAACACGCATTTTTTACAACACCAGGTGTCAAGTCCGGTAGCAAAGATACCCACAGAACAGAAGGCAGCGGATTCCCTGACCTGGGTCAGAGACAGCTGTTCCGAGGTCTGAACGGAGTGGGTTCTGTGAGGATGCCCCTAAGTCAGTGGGCGAGAGGCGGCCGGAGCTGGGCAGAACGAGCATCTTGTGGGAAGGATAGGAGGACAGGAGGGAGCCACGGCGGCCTGGGGGCACCGTTGCTGGGGTGGCAGCGCTCAGTAGGGGGCCAGCACGGGGCCGCGAGGGCGAGGAGGGCTTGCCCAGGAGGCACGTCGTAAAGATAAGCCGTAATCTTACGGGTTAGAGCTGTGTGCCCGGCCCCCTGGTCCGTGGGGTGGTCACCACGTCGCAGGGGCCGGGCGGGGAGCACTGACCTGCAGGCGGGCCACGCAGCAGAACGCGGCCGAGGGGTTTCGGAGTTGGATCCGCTCGGTCAGCAGGTTGCTGCCATAGGCGAAGTACAGAAAGCTCTCCTCTTCCTGACCCCGCAGGTCCTCGCAGCCCGAGCTCGCCATGACCCGCCAGGCGCCCCGCGTCCGCAGCAGGGGTCGGAGGAGAGGACGCGACAGCAGCACAACCCCGGGCGACCCCAGCTCAGCGGCCTCCGTCCCCGGAGTTAGGGAGAAAGGTGGGAAGTGTGGGCCGGGCGATTCGGGAGCGAGCGCTCTTCTGATTGGCTGTCGGTCCCAACGATGCCAGTCGCCCCTGCTGATTGGCCAGACCCACCGCCCGCGATCCACTTTCCTCTTGGACTCGGAAATGCTCAGTCCGGCGGCGACCGGGGTCTGGTTCCTCATTGGACACGCCTTCTCTTGTCCCGCCTCCGTGGTCAAGGCCGCCTCTGATTGGCGAGCGGTCGGGCGCTACGCGGAGTCAGGTCAGGTCGCGTGGGCTCGGTTCGGCGGTCGCGGCGCGGGTCAGCACCAGGTTTCTCCCTCTCGGGCGTGGGCCGGGGCGGGGGGCGCGCGTGTGGGTGGAGGCAGTGTGTGCGCCCCAGGGAGTTCCGGGCAGGTCTGGGGCGAAACAGCGGCCCTGGTACGGCAGTTTCCTCACCCGCCGCTCGCCTCCGGCCCGGTTTGGATGAGTCGGTCAGGGCGGGTCTGTTCACCCCGCGCCGTTTCCCGCACCCCCAGGTCTGATGGTCTCCCCGATGCCTCTTCTAGGGACCCTCTGCCTCCGGGAGGAGTCCCCCTGAGCGTCCCGGGCTCCCTTCCCTGGCGGAAGTGCTGTGCCGGTTACAATTCCGACGCTGCCGGTCGGCGTAAGTATTGCCATTAAGTGCACAAACCCGCCGGGTACTATAAGATATGAAAGTATTGAAACAATGGACTAAAACCCTATCTCGCTAACTCTGAAGTGAAGGGATTTCTATGACCTCCGGGCCTAGAAGCGAGTCTTCGGCACCCAGATTTGGACCCCTAAATGCCATTCTCCGCCAAAAGGTACCGGGGCGCCATGGAGAAGGGGCTGGGGCCCGGTCAGGATCTGGGAGTGAATGAGTTCTTGGACTGTCTCCTGACAGGAAGTCGGGAAGATTCCAAGAAGAAAGAGGTTCTTTTATTATTTTCATTTTAAATATATCTTTATTGATTTCAGAGAGGAAGGAAGAGGGAGAGAGAGATAGAAACATCAGTGATGAGAGAGAATCATTGATGGCTGCCCCCTGCAGGTTCCCTACTGGGGATCGAGCCCGCAACCCGGACATGTGCCCTTGACCAGAATCAAACCTGGGACCCTTCACGCTGCAGCCTGGTGCTCTATCCACTGAGCCACACCAGCCAGGGCGAAAAAGAGGTTCTTTTAAAAGGACTCGGGAGCCAGCTTGACGGAATGAATGCCCACTGGCCACAGTTAGAACAATTTTTAAAAAATATTTATTTTATTGATTTTTTACAGAGAGGAAGGGAGAGGGATAGAGAGTTAGAAACATCAATGGGAGAGAAACATCGATCAGCTGCCTCCTGCACACCCCCTATTGGGGATGTGCCCGCAACCAAGGTACATGCCCTTGACTGGAGTGGAACCTGGGACCCTTGAGATCGCAGGCCAACGCTCTTTCCGCTGAGTCAAACCGGTTAGGGCCAGTTAGAACAATTTGAGGGTCAAAAAGAATGACTGCAGTTGGTTGAAAATGTCAAACGTGTAAAAGTCATTTCCTGGAAAGAGTAAGCCAAATCTAAAAAAAAAAACCCCAATAATTTCTAGAAACCCCTGTTTGCCATGTTACGTGTGGTGACTATTACACCAGCTCTTTCCTCTGAAAAGCTGTAAGTGGAGAAAATAAATATTTATCCTGCCTTTCTAGTTGCAGGTGAATTTCAGAGTCATCAGACAGCCCCAGTTGATGTGCAAAGCGCTGTTAATGAAACCATTTGGTGCAAGGGTGATAGGGAACAGAATGTTAACCTGTGCACGATTATTCCCCAGGGATTACTTGCTGGTCATCAGGAGGAAAACAAGGACAGTGGGAAAATGTGGCCTCTCCCATCTTAGCCTAGATGAATCTTACTGCCATGAAACGTGGGCCGTGACATTGTTGTGTCTCCAGCATCACCTGTGAGTATTGTTCCCCCAAATCTTTAACTTCAACATACGAAAGCAGGAACTACAGGATTGAAGGGGGAAAAAAAATGACACCAAGAGGAAATATCTAAAGCAAACGATCGGACATACTGCAGAGCAAAGAGCTTAGTCTCTTACATTAAGCTGGTGTCATTTAATGAAATCAAGTCCTACGCTGCTGGTCCAGAACCATGGTGCCCTCGCTGTGGAAGGGACTGGTGGGCGTCGGCCTCTTCGCTCTAGCCCACGCAGCCTTCTCTGCTGCGCAGCATCGTTCTTACATGCGGTTGACAGAAAAGGAAGACGATTCCCTGCCGATAGATATAGTTCTTCAGATACTTCTGGCTTTTGCAATTACCTGTTACGGCATAGTTCATATTGCAGGGGAGTTTAAAGACATGGATGCTACTTCAGAACTAAAAAATAAGACATTCGACACTTTAAGGAATCACCCATCGTTTTACGTCTTCAATCATCGTGGTAGAGTCCTGTTCCAGCCTTCGGATACAGCAAATTCTTCGAACCAAGATGCATTGTCTTCTAACACCTCCTTGAAGTTACGAAAACTTGAATCACTGCATCGTTGAGATTTTTACAAATCATAACAACAGGACAGGACACGGAGCTGGAATATTGGCGTTTGGGGTATATAAAACACCACCCCCCACCGATATGTATCTTGATCTTTCAGACCTAATTTTTTAAAAGTTTATGCCCCTGTTTTTATACTGTTAAATCATTGATGCAGTATAAAATATCTGTGAAATGAGTCTTTGATCTTTCATAGAGTTCTTTCTTTTTTTCATTTAAAACAAATTGGCATCTTTTGTAAAAGTCACTGTTTTGAACATTTCTTCGAGAGAAAAGAAAAGTTGATGTTTTTGTAATTGTTTTCTCAGATTTCTTTTCCTTTGCACTACAGTTTTTAGGACCCTTTTGGAAACAGTGTGACTGCTGCATTTTGCTGCATGAACGATAATAAAACGGTCTTCAGTTCTTAACAAGTGGACTTCTCTGCAGAGATTTAAAAAGGTGACATCAGTTTTTCGTAGGCCCTCTAAAAAGGGGCTCTGCTTCAGGAGTTACTTGCCAGATTTTAATTTATCCCTCACTTCTCACCCCACCCGACTCCCATATACCTTCTAACATCAGCTATCTCGTGGCATCACTTCTCTGGAGTTCTGTGTGTAGTGAGCAATTTTTGTATCAGAAATTCTTTGTCATAACAAATATACTTAACAGATTCAACTTGCTGTAAAGCTACTTGTATTCTCTTTGTTTATCTGTAAAAAATTTCCCTAATTGGTTATGTGGTGTAAGAATGTTGAAGATACACCAAAAGACCCTTTGGGATTTAATTATTCTGCTTATGTAGAAGAAGAATCACTGAGGAAAACTGATTATTTGTCATTAGCCAGTTTAATTTATTCAAATTCTGTTATTTTATTGCATACTATACTAGTGAATTAGTAAAAATAAACTCATTAAAGGAATTGGGCCAAAAATGTTCTAAATACTTGGAACTACTATCTTTAATTGTTTTTTCATTAATATCATTTAAGAAATTGTTTTGTGGCTTCTGACTTGTAGCAGGCTTACAGTTTTCCATCTTCATTGTATGTTGCTGAAGATGATACGGAGTAGTACTTTTTTAGGAACAGTAATTTTAGTTTTAGGGAAATTTGGCTAGCCCTTTGATCTGCAGAAAGCTTAACATTCCTTATTAGAGAACATTTTATTGAATTCTCAGGTATGAAAATATTGCTTATGTGGAATTGTATAGATGTAGAGGGAATAACTATGCAGATTTGAAAAGGAAATGAGCTTTAGGCAAGAGTCTCCTGATGCCCTTACACTTGGCTTTTTTTCCACTAGAAACTAACCTCAGCGCTTCTGTTCTGCCTGGAAACGCACAGCCCCAAAGCAGGAGATTATTTTGTCATTGGGCGTTTGTTTTGTTTTGTTTTGCCAACCTAGTCTACCTGTGGAATACTAGCTCTGCTCTCTAAGGACAAAGTTGGAAATCTTCTGATAACCTAGAGTAATTTAGAAGTGAGTTAAAGATGTGAAGTCGGGGGTTAAAAGTGGTGATGATAAAATCAAAACCGTGTGAGGAACAACTCCTTACATAGGTTGTATACCGTCTCCTTGGGGATGGCTAGGTTCCCAAGGGCCTCTTGTTTTCTCTTGGGGCTGTCTTCCTTTCCTAATAGCTTTCGGAACAACTTTATGAAGCTACAACTCACATTCCTTATAACTCACCCACTTAAAAGGTACAGTTCAGTGGTTTTGTAATATAGTCACTAGTTGTGCAGCTCTGACCACAGTCAATTTGAGAACACCCAAAAGAAACTAACCCTTTAGCAGTCATCTCTCATTTCCCCCGATGCTTCCCAGCCCCAAGCAACCACTAACCTACTTTCTCCCTCTCTGATTTGCCTATTCTGGTCCTTTAAATGGATTCATTCAATATCTGGTCTTTCATAACTGGCTTCTTAAAATAATTTTGTTCTATGGAGCGTGAGAACTTCTCATCTTGAGAACTGTGACTGCTGTGAAAGGAAGTGGTTGGTGAAACCAGTAGACGTAAGACAGAGGGTCAAATTTTATTTATAATGCTATGAGACAGTCCATGACTACCTAGGGTAGTCCCAAAAATGTGATGCAAGCTAGCTCAGTCTGCAGTTGACTATTGAAGGCGCTCTAGAATATGGGAAGACTCACTTCTTAATAACCAGGGAACCAGCTACATGCGATGGGCTAACAGCCCAGCTGCACAAGTGCAGATTAGTGAGTCAGGCCATAGTGCCCTGTAACTCCGTTTTTCACACGTCCTCCATCCAAAAATGGCTTCTGTGGTCCAAGCTGGGAAAGACTATGTTATTCACTTCCTCTTGGAGAGTCCCAGGGTCCATGACCACAGGAAGGAATCTGAGAATACCTGTCATGAAGAAACCTGCTGAGCTCGGTTCAGTCCTGACTTTCCCAAGCCTTTGGTGTTGGGAAGCATGTTACCGAGCATGTGGGAAAAGCCTTGGTTTTTGAAGGATGATTGTTCATATTAACTCTTAAATTATCCAGAAAATTGAAGACAAGCAATGGTGTTAGCTAGATGTTATTTATTGGTTTAATATGATTTCAGAGCCATTTGTTTATGACTTAAATGAAGTTGTTTTAATCCACCTGTTTATGACAAAGACAACACAAAAGTTGTCTTCAGAAGTGACGCTGTTTTAATACAAGAATGGAGCAGGCTGTGTCCGGAAGTCATCATCTCCTCTGTTGATATGCTGTCAGCAGCTCATCTGCTAGGGACCCCGCTGGGGCTTATCAATAACATGTGGAGAAGCAACTATAGCTATATTGGGTTTATCTATAGTCTTTGTTTTATATAGAGTATTTAGATGGTAAATACTGACAATATGCGAGGACTATTGAAGAGTCAGTCTGGGCAAGGCGCACTTTGCTGAGCTAACTCTCTGGAGACCTTGGGGCGTTAGCACCTGTCTTGGTGAGGTGTTGCCTCGCAGACAGTGGTGATAAACCTTGCAGCACCCCTTTGAGGAATCATCCTGCCCACTAACACATTCCTTAGCAACGTGCTCTGGCAGCAATGGACTTCTCATTTTGTGCTGGCAGCTGGAAGTCAGCTCCAGGTTGGTTAAGGGCGGCCCGCCCCAGTGCCTACTTGTAGAACAGGTCCACTTCAGCTAAATTTGGGCATTATTTCTTTCACCTCCCCTTGCCTGAATAATAGTATAATTAATCTAGCATTGCTTTGGCATATGTTATTTATTATCTTTTTAAGAGACATTATCCTGGATGCTATTTGCTTGTGACATTCCCTCAATGAACCGGTGTTAAATAAATGGCTGGCAAAGACAAAATTAGTCTCTGAGCATAATTTTACCGCCAAAACAAAACACTAGAGAGAGAAGAGTTCCAAATCTTTGTACTGTTCTGGTGAGTGCTATAATCTTTTATCACAAATCCAGTCATTGAAATGTTACCAGGCCGGGAACCTGGCCCTGAGCAGGTCTGCCTAGGGCCAGTGGGTAGTGTGTGGGTTCTTGGCTTCATGTAGAAAGAATTCACAATACAAGCCCAGGTCACTATGAGTGTATGTTTATTAAAGCTGGGGACTGAAACAAGGGAAGGCCTGGACTAGAAGAAGCAATAGGAGAGCCCAGGCTGGGCTGCTTTAGTTCACTGGGAAGTCAGAGAAAAGGCCTTGGAGACACATTCAGGGGATTAGCCTGGGATGAGCTGCCGCTGCCTGTTGCTCCCCTGGTTGCAAGTCTTCATGGGGTCTCAGAGTTTAGGAGGTGCATGCCTGTGGGGGGAAGCAGAGGGGGCAGGGGAAGGCACAGAGGGAGAGCACACAATGGGTCCTTTGTCTTGAGGGGTTTTTTCTTCTTGCAGGTCTCGGGAGGGTTTCAGCAGAACATCAGTTTTCCATGTGTGCTCCTTCAGGGTCGAGGTCTCTGGTGATTGGTTAGTGCCAGGGCAGGGGACTGTTAGTCATTGCAGCTGCTCCTGCTGCTGCTACTTGGTCTGGGCCTGGAGCTAAAATACAACTGGGGCCTAGATGTTATCTCTAGGGAGGTGACCTGTGTCTGCTTAAGTAAGTTGCTAGGCCAGTTTGCTCAGCTGCCTGTCTCAGTTTTCCCATTCCACTTGTCCTGGCTTCCTGGCCTGTTCGAGAAATGTTGCTTGCCTTTGCTGGTTCAATTCCTGATAATCAGGTTGAAACTGCAGTTATGTATAAAAACACCCATCAACCTCTATTAAATGCAATAATGGTTACAAGCTGGTGAAAATAAGGATTTGATTGCAAGGCTGAGTGAGAAACAAGTGTGATGGAGCCTAAAATTCTCAAACTGGAAAAGGTTTGGCTCCTTGGTCCTTAGTTTCTCCCATCCTTCCTTTGCTCCTTGTTTCCTTTAAGGCTGTCAAAGCAGTTGACAGGGTTGTAGAGCGGGTTAGACGGCTTCGTGGAAATGTACCTCATTAGCAGCACTGGTAGCAGTGGCGGCTCTTGTTAGGCTAGTAGTTTCTTAAAATGTTTCAACTTGCTCATTAAAACATTTTCATGTCAGTATCGATTCATGTTTCCCACTACAAATGATAAATCTTTCCAAATTCCAATTTGGAGGAATTGGTCGGCTTAGCAAGTTCTACTCTCGTGTAATAGGATTTTCCATGCTGTCATGAAATTAAAAATCGCCTCAGTATACACTGAGTGGCCAGATTATTATGACCACCTCATCATTACAATGAAGTGAATTAGTTATGCAAATAATAATAAAACCTTGAGAGCATTTGCTTAGGAAGTTTTCAATATTCAGTATTTTTGGGAGTGTCAAGTACCGATGGGGTGGTCATTTACATGAATATCGTTACATGAATTGATAAGGACAAAGTAGATGACTGCCAGTCTGGTTTAGAGTGCACAATATCTGATGGTCTTGAACTAATTCCAGTGAGCAAATAGTAGTCCATATCTATTGTGGAAGCAGGGGTGTTTTCTGGCTTTTTGGCCAGGTGTCAGAGAGGAAGGTTTAGAGGTAACAGGGAGATCATTGAAAAAATATATTTATTAAATTGATTGGGGTGACATTGGTCAACATGGACATATAGGCTTCAGGTGTGGGTTTCTATGTTACAAGATCTGTATATTGCACCGTGTGCCCACCACCCAAAGTCAAATCTTCTGTTACCTTATATTAGGACTCCCTCCGAGGGAGATCATTTTTAGGAAGAATTTCTTCCATCTGGCTTAGAAATTATGAGGAATTAAAATATTTCTTAGGATGAAACTGAGAACACATCCTCTTTTTTTCTTGAAATAATTTCATCCACTCTGTCAAAAATTATCTGTTCTGTAGAGTTGTTTTGCATATAACTTTGCCGACCTCATTACCTAGGGAACAAAAGTAAAGATAAACTCAAAAGACTGAAACCCAGCAAAATATTTGTTAATATTTATATTAGCAAATTAGGACTAGAATAGAATGGAAGGAATCCTGCTAAAAATAGGAACTGTGAGTAGTTTTGGTCTGCCTGTAAAGACTTTTCCTTCTTAACTTTCCTAGAAAATTCTTATTTAAAATTAAATAAATGTTACCTCCTCTGTCAAACCACCCCTAACTTCCAGGTAAATACAGTCTTCTATATTTATAATACTTGATTCCTTTACTATTTCATTAAAACAATTTTATTTATTTGTTGACATGCTTCCTTCCCCTACTAGACCAGGATGATCACAGAGGGCAGGACTTATCATTCATTCAACAAGTATTTATTGGGTGTTTACCACGCGTCAGCTGGCCATTTTGCTACTGCTCAAGACTGAGGAGTAGTCATCTTTTTCTTCCCAGCACATAGTACATACCTGCCCCATTACTGAGCAGGCATTCAGTAATGAGTCGATAAATAATTGCATAACTGAGTGAAAGGATGAATAGATGAATGGCCTCTATTGTGTAAGGTAGAAAAGGTACCCATTTTGCAGTGAGGTTTCAGTT